CTTGGTTTTTGCTGTGCAAAATTTTGAAAATTAGCAATTTTTTTTTCAAAATTTGGATTGCAAAATTATTATGCAAAATCTATCGAACCGATTTTGATGAAATTTGGTGTGATGATTCTACATAACATGAAGTTTTCTTGAGCCAAGTATAAAGGTCCTATACCAAATTTAAATACCCCAAAAAAATTCCCTAAAAGTATTGTTTTTTAACCCCATTTTTGCGATTTTTTCGATTTTACCATAATAATCATGATTCATTCGATTTGTAACTAACAATGTTTTGTAAAAAATTTAATTACAAACATTTTTTTCCTCTTCCATTTTCGCCTAAAATCAACTCTTGAAAAGATACATAATTAAATAGGAAGAAAAATATGACATTTTTCGAATTTTCTTAACATATGAAAGCCATATGAAAGCCAAAAATCTAAAAATCTCCGTGGATATACGATTCACTCAAACTAAAACAGATACCGCCTAGTCTATTACACAAAACATATAATACAGTCTATTATGATCAGAAGTAAAAGCAATAATTAGAACGTCAGTCATAACTTGATCGGACATTCTCTGGAAAACAATTGATCGAGTTACATTATTATCATATTATTATGTTTATTTGTGTCAATGTCAAGTCAAACGGATATGGCTTAGCGCTTCCAAGTGTTTACAGACAGGGTAGTTAGCAGTTTTCAGTAGTTTTTCGATTATTTGTAACAATGCGCAATGCAATCATACGCAGAAAAAGTTGATACGTTATTAATTTATGTAAAATCCCAGAAAAATTGTAGAAGAGCTGTTCAATTGTATAGGGAAAAATTTACTGACCACAAAACGTTTGTCAGGCTAGAATGAAACCTAAGAAAAAGGGTTCAAGATGACTATACTACTGCACAAGTGGTACAATATTTTGGGAACCACCCGCGAAACTCAATAAGGCAAGCTAGTCACCAGTTAAATTTGAAAACATATTCGATTCACCAGACATTAAAAGTTAATGGTTACCACAATTTTAAAATACATACCTAACTTGGAATATTTATCTGAAATTCATTTAGAAAGAAGATTGAGTTTCCTTGCACAAATCACGGTAGCTGCTGAAACTTCTGATCGACGAATATTTTATCATATTTTGTAAGTAATCGTTTACCAAATAAAAAAAATTAACATTGTTGGTCCATTGAGAATCCAAACTGATACAAAATCAAAGACATTTTGGTGTGAATGTGTGGTGTGGTGTCATTGGAGGTCATTTGATAGGGCCATACTTTTATGAAAGTGTGTTGAATATGAATAGTATAGAATACTTGCGTTTCTTGCAAGAGGAACTCCCAGCACTTATTGAAAATATCCGTTTGCAGTTGCGAAGGAGTTTGTGGTTCCAGCATGATGGAGCCCCACCCCATAAAGCGTTTATTGTGCAGGATTATTTAAATACTGTTTGTGATTAATTAAAAGACATCTTTAGTATTTAAATATGTATTTGATATTACTATTTCAAGGACTTTTGGTAACTTGTATCATTAACAGTGTCATAGCAAGCCTTGTATGAAAACTTTCAACGGCCTCCTACTATTAACGAAGCAGTAAATTCTAAAATAATTGTTATAAATCGTTTGTAATTATTATTTTTACTTCTGATCATAACTTTTTAATGAAAATAGAGAAAAATTTTTTAAATAAAAGTTTATCGGAAAAATATATCTTTAAATTCTTTTTAAATATGGAAAAATACAGGCATGTTCCTGGAAAAAATATTTCATGACGTCGTCAACACAATTTTCGAAATATCTAATTTTAATTTTTGGTGCAAAATGCACTTCAATCCATGCCGCTTGAACTCCACTTCAAATATTCAGTAACATTTTTCGTTATCCTGTAATATCATTGGGGCGTCGAGTTTGGGACGCCCAGTACATATCTTGTAAAATCTTATCAATTTAAAAAAATACTCCATGGCCTTCGTTACTTTACTCTTATCAGCCATCTTGTTTTTTCGTTCTGGTAACGTCATGATTTGTTCGAGACTACACACTTTAGTGCCAGTTAGTGTTCAAAGACGGAGTTATGGCTCTGTATTAATTTGAAGCGAAACACACTGTATATTATATATCTTATAATCTGTCGGAAAGCTTTACTACATTTCAGTTTGAAGTACAAACGAAATGAAAGTAAATTATGAATGGGTACATTTAAAAATTCCAGTTTTTTATTGTGAGTATAAAACTTACAGTTTAGTAGGTACATTTTTTGTTTGATCAGCCAATATGTAAATTTAAACACCTTACACCTGCACGAATATTTCGGGCAATCAGCAGTTTCGATAAATACACCTTTCAGTTAAAAATATTCGTCTGTTTTTCTAGAATTATTACCAATTATGTACGTTTAGTTCTACGGCGCGATAAAATGTGTGTGAATCATCTAGGCGGCCGCGGAAGATTAGGTCATTTTAATAAATAAATATTTTGTCGGCTCAGTTTCTAATTTTTAAGTAGGTAGTTATTCAAATACGTAGCAGAAAAAGACCTTATCAGAGGCGATATAGATAAAAAGTGTACAGTTGGATTTCTTATCAATTTATTGTGAACATGACAGAAAGGAAAGGTGTGTGTCCGGCAGTTATTTCGCAAAATGATAAAAAAGAAGAAAATAATAACGTGCTGATCATAGAAGGTGTAACTGAGGACGATACTTCGGATTTTTTTGAGCAGAGTAGTAGCCTGTGTTTTCATAGTGCCGAAACCAGCAAAATTGATACCGACACCGATGTTGTGGATGAAAGTGATGTGATTCATTCCTTTATACATAATTCCAGCGATGAAGTACGTTTTTTTTGTTTGCTTTGCCGTCTCTTTCTAGTACAGAGTTTTTCATTAGTAGGAGCAGAAACAATTTTCTCCATTGAATCATTGAATAATTGGATGTAGTAATTGCGAATTTATGAATAAATTCACGAAATTTTTCATGAACTAATTCATCAATTTATTTATGAAGGGTTGGATTTAGCTACTCCGTTCTAAGCTTCGTGAACTTCTTTCAAACAAAAATAGCTACCTACAGTACTAACATAATACCTATAATTATGGACTTTATCTACTTAACTTACCGTTATTACCAACTTTGCAAATAAGTCACAATAAATAAAAACAAATTGAAATAATTAAGAATTACTTTTCTAATTAGACAATATGAAAAATATATTGTAATACTAATTTTTTTGCCAATTCAAATGTCATTTATATAAAAAAAATATGCTGAACGAAGCATGAGAACATGATGTGAGCAAATAACGTAACTTAACCTCACTATTTATTTATTCGTTAGGTCAAAACATCATGTGGTACGAGCGGTTTTATATTCAAATTCGAATTAGAATAACGCTACCGATTTTTTATAGATATTTTTCAGCCCTCCTTGTTAGAGCCTGAAAATTTGTAATTTTGTGCAGTGTTCCTTTGGAAATTGATCTCAAAATAGCTTTGTTAATGGATTAATTAATATTATTAAGAAAAAAGTTGCTTTTATTTTAACTTTGTAACATAGAATGACACTATTTAACATGTTTATCACAGTAATTGACACAATGTGTGTTTCCAGGCGGAAGCCAGACTTTGGGCAAAGAGACAGGCAAGGGCGGAAGCTAGGGAAATACGTATGCGCGAATTGGAGCGCCAACAAAAGGAACAAGAAGAAAATGCAGATAGACAATTCGATATGTTGGCCGAACCAATGGTCAGGACTCCCAGGAGTGCAACCGCCGGTAGTCGGTATCTCTCTAGTCGAAGAAGCTCTGAAGATTCCTTGGAAGATGGGGGCAGTCTCAGAGAATTAAGGGTATGTTGGTTATACTAAAGTTATTTTTGTGTCTCTTGCTTTTGATCAGATAATCAGATAACAATAAGTTTCAACTTTCAGCACGAACTCAAGGAGGTTGAAGAAAAATTCCGTAAGGCTATGATTGCTAATGCTCAACTCGACAATGACAAAGCGGCACATACTTATCAATTGGAGTTACTAAAAGATAGGTAAGTCGATTTACGGGACCTGTAGATTTTAGTAAGAGAAACCTTGTTTCCAACTTAGGTTAGAAGAATTAGAAGAAGAACATTCCCAATTGAAAAGGGAGCATCGCGAGAAATGCAGAGATCACGATCAGTTGAAGAGGTTGTGTACCAAACTGAAGGAAGACTTGGCTGTGACTAAAGCTGAACTGGAAGAGAGGGATCAGTTGATCACGGAGAAAGGTCTGGTTATCGTAGCCGAGGAATTGCCTCCTGATGAAGACGGATTGGTGCAGTCTCCCAAGAAAGCCTTAATTAGCATAGAAAATGCCCAAATGTTGGAGGGCGCAGGTGACGGAAGTCTAGGTAATATTTCACAATACCTTTGGAACTTATACGGAGGTTACCATCGACCTTTATAAATATACAGGGTGATCTATTAACGGTATCGAGCGGCTGTATATAGGAAACTAGATGTGCTACGATTATGGGGTAAAAAATCTATTAACAAATACGATCAAAAGAAATTGATTTAAAATATTTTTAAGTTTGTAACTTCACCGGTAGGGGGCGCAACTGCTATAGTGTTACAGAAAATTGTCGGTTTTTCGAAATTTCGCTTATATAACCTAAGTTGCAAATATATTTTTTAGATACACTGTTAAACCCTTCACAAGTTTTGGTTGAACTTTTTTTTTGTTATTACCATAGCAATGTCAGTATGAAGGACGCTATCTTGAAATTTTTAAATTGTCATTACTTCTAAATGTCTTAATCGATTTCAATAAACGATGCCTCATTTTAAATAACTATTAATAAAATTTATATTTGTGATATGGGAATAAAAATATTATTTTCCTGCGCAATGGTAGACGACGTTAATGAGAAAAGTTTTGTAATTGTCTCTGTTTACTAAAAAAATTAAATGCAACTATATAGTTTTTTGTTCATGGCTTGATAGACCGTTTATTAAGGAAAACAAATACACAAACCGGAGGTCGATATCTTTTCCGTTTTCAAGTTATTGCTAAAATAGTGAGGTTGAGCTAGAACATCCTCCTTTATTTAGTTCTCAATAACATTGACATGATCCAAGCCAAAATTAAATTGTAAAACTATACCAATCTTGTCCTTAAAAAGAATTATTGTTTTACTTCGAAATTTTTGTAAATGCAATGTTTAATTTTTTTTATTAATTCCAAATATCTGAGTAATTATAAAGATTATTGTTTCCATAACGAGGTAGGCTATGCCCTATGAAAATAGACGACTGAAAAATTATGCCAAACGAAATATGACAGCTCTTGATACGTGCAAAATTAGTGTTATTTGTGTTAGAAAAGTACTTGTGAACAAGGAAAATATGATTTTACGAATAGCGTATGATATGTTGGCAGTTTATTTTCAATGTTTGAAAAATGCCGTTATAGCTTCAAGAGAATACGCTTTGCGATACCCTCGTAGGATACGCTACTCCAGAGAAGTATTTCAGCGTTTACTCAGACGCCACTACATTCTGTAAGAAGACATCGCCGTGCAAGAACGGAAGATAATATTATTAATATGTTGGCTTGTGTCCATGTAAATCCCCAAATAAGTGTAAGGGAATTAGTTAGAGACCTGGGAATTTCAATATGGAACACAAGTACTTTTCTCACACGAATGACACTAATTTTGCACGAAGCAAAAGCTGACATATCATTTGGCATAATTTGTTATTTGTCTATTTTCATAGAACAAAGCCTCCTTCGTTATGGAAACAATAATCTTTATAACTACTCAGATATTTGGAATTAATAAAAAAAAATGAAACATTGCAGTTATCAAAAAAATTTCAAAGTAAAACAATAATTCTTTTTAAGGACAAGATTGGTATAGTTTTACAATTTAATTTTAGCTTGGATTATGTCAATGTTATTTAGAGAACTAAATAAAGGAGGATGTTCTAACACAATTTCACTATTTTAGCAATAACTTGAAAAGGAAAAAAAATGTCGACCTTCGGTTTGTGTATTTGTTTTTCATAATGAATGGTCTATCAAGCCATGATAAAAAACCTATATCTTTGTATTTAATTTTTTTAGTAAACCGAGACAATTACAAAACTTTTCTCTTTAGTGTCGTCTACCGTTGCGCAGGAAAATAATATTTTTATTCCTGTATCACAAATATAAATTTTATTAATAGTTCTTTAAAATGAGCCATCGTTTATTGAAATCGTTTAAGGCATTTAGAAGTTATGACAATTTAAAAATTTCAAGATAGCGTCCTTCATACTGACGTTGCTATGGTAATAACAAAAAAAAAGTTCAACCAAAACTTGTGAAGGGTTTAACAGTGTATCTAAAAAATGTATTTTCAACTTAGGTTGTACAGGGTTAACTATCACTTAGTACATAAATTTTAAGTGAGGATAGAGAAAAATAATATTTAACAGAATCGACCTTCAAAAAATTTCTAAAATTGTTTTTAAAGCTGAAAATATTTGTTTTCTAAACCTCAGTGAAACCCCTATTTCATGACGGCTATGACAGTCCGTCAGACACGAGATGCGAATTTCGCATACGGCAACGGTAGTGAAACAGCGCCGCGTTGCCACGTGTATCGATTACCGCGCATTTGAAGAAAAACTTTTATTTACAAAATTCGTTTTCAACATCCTTGTAGAGTTTTACACTAATAAATAATAGTAAACACAAATAATTACTTACTAAACGTAAGTACGTGAACAAAAACACAAACACCGACAAAGCGACAAATTATTTGAACTCGACAGCTATTTGTTCTGTGAAAATAGAGTCGTAAAGTCACCTGTTGAAAATTTGAAACAGCCCCATCTCTAAGCAAGTAGCGTAAGGTGCATTTCAGACATCTCGTTTTTAAACTTTTGTTGGGGAATTAAATAGTGATATTAGTAATAAAAATAAAACCAAAAATCGTCTATGTTCGCATAAAATAATTAGTACCTATTATTTTAAGCTGTAAGTCCCCGGGGTGTTTACAGTTTTCTGTAATAATTCAGCAGTACGTATCCAGGCCACAAGATCAACTTGTCTCTCGTGATTTTTAGGTTATATTTACATACACTACAGTTATCAAGGCACTGTAATGTATGCAATTACACATACGTTTTCCAGTGTCCCAGTAAATAAATTCAAGATTAATTAAAATGTACGTGAAGAATATGCGATGTGAACAAATCTAAAGGGCCAGTTGTTTACGTTGTTTTTGGAGAGTCGAATGCAAATTCAACGCCGCTACGGATATTAGTCCATTGAAATGTTACATTTTTTTGGGCTTAGCGTGCAAAAGTTTACGCAATTTTATTTTTTGGATGTCAAGAGGGGGTTACTGTAAAGTTAAATCCATGTTTGTGGGGTCGCAACCCTTGAGCGTCGGCCGCCATCTTGTAAAAAGGGCTTCGAATGGTTTTTATACTACTACTTACTATATCGGCCAAACTATTCCTCGCATAGAAAATTTGTAGACATTTCTTGTTGCAAATTAAATTCTCTACAAATTTAGTTCCATAACTTTTAGTCGTAGAACCAAAAATAGCAAAGTTATTAACAAAAACATATAATTTGGGAAGACATTTTTTTTTGGTCGTTATAACTTTTTTTTTGGTCATTTTACAAAAAAATTACGTCAGAGCATTTTGATAGAGGGGTTTTCAAGGAATAATTTCCATTACAAACTTTTTTCAAATTTTATTTATTAATTAGGTTTTTACAGCGATGCGAAACTTACACTATTCTCCAGTACTAGTAAGTATACATACATTAATATGAATGATTAGGCATAGTTTTCTCTCATTTTTCCATTATTTTTATAAGAAACATTTTAATGATTTATATTGCAATGTTGTTAATTAGTTATTGACTCTTTTCCTCACCCCCTACGGGGTAAAGTCTGGTGGCGCGTTTTTTTACGTCGTATCCCTGTATGTATTTCCCAATTTACTGTGTCCTCAGTCTCTTTGATGTGCCAGGCTGCGACTCAGGATCTGGTGGAGCTTCCGATATTGAATTGTCGAGGAAAGATGGAGAATGAAGTGGCGTCATTATTGGCAGTTCATCTTCAAAATCATTTTCCTCGATCAATTTTGATATCTCCATTATGTTGCTGCATGTCTCCCCAGAACAATTCAGGCATACTGCAGAACATTTGAGGCCTGCCTTCCGACATCCACACATTGCTCCACAGTTTCCTTTGCATCGGCAGAATATCAACTTTAGAAGCTCAGGGGGTGCTGGAGGTTTTGAACTTTGAATAGGCATCAATATTTGTCCATACTTTTTCCACCCCAGTCTTGAGGGTCGTTGTAATTCCCGAGCCACGACTGGACCTGACAATAGACTCGGAGGTTGTGCAAGCGGGCTGTGTCTTGTGTTGGAGGAAGTGAAGACAAATTAAATGTATTCTTTGTCACTGACTTGGCGAATCGTTTATATCTAAGACTGTCCAGAGAATCATCATCTTTATTGCCACCATATAAGGAGATGAAAAAACGTTCACCAACGGCAGTGAGCAAAGTTGGGTCGACTCTCTCATTGAGGAATAACGCTGTTCCACTAGCTAACTCAGGACGTGTCTCCAGTGTTGCGAAAAATTTCATTTTACCGATGTTGTAAGCTGCTGAAGTTGTGTCACATCCTGAGAAGGCATGGAGAAACAACAGATTATCCGCAATGACTTCTCCGTACATAAAACTTGACGGACATAAAATTGTTCGGCTATACGTCCTTTCGATGGTTTAAAAAAATATATATTTGAATGTGTTCTTCCAAATGCCGCGAGCAAGACAAGAATGCCGATATCTTCGGCGACAATAGTGACTGAGTCGAACGATTGGAATGCAGCAAGAGCGGAGCGAACGATGAGGGTATCTGCATCTGATTCTGCTTGGTCGACACTGAAACCCACCTCCGACAATGAAGTTTTGAGAAGTTCAATGAACTTAGCCTTGTTCTTCTCATTATCAAGAAAACTTTGAAGGACGCCTCCTATGCCTAATCATTCATATTAATGTATACTTACTAGTACTGGTATGCAACAACGGAACTAAGAGCAAATGTAAAATTCTGCAACGATCTGGATTAACATCTATCAAGTAGGTATTAATAAAAAATGTTTATTTCTGTCGTTTCTACAATGGCAAAATGTCAACGCCGCTAAATATTGCTGAACAGCTGAGTGAAATTATGCCGGTTGACAGTTGATAACCGCCAATTTACCGGGAACAAAGGGGGTTTTGCCCCATTTTTTAAACGTCGAGCTAAAATTCCGAAATAATTTTTTTATTATCTTTTAGGCCGTCCTAAGCGCGTGGTTAAAATTTATGTACTAAGTGATAGTTAACCCTGTATAAGCGAAATTTCGAAAAACCGACAATTTTCTGTAACACTATAGCAGTTGCGCCCCCTAGCGGTGAAGTTACAAACTTACAAAATATTTTAAATCAATTTCTTTTGGTCGTATTTGTTAATAGATTTTTTACCCCATAATCGTAGCACGTCTAGTTTCCTATATATAGCCGCTCGATACCGTTAATGGATCACCCTGTATACCATAAGATTATTTTGTCAAATCTTGTTATGAAAACTGAATTTTTTAACTTTTTTTTTTTCAAATCCTGTTTTGAATAATAGTTTTGCAGCCGCATGTGCTTGGTTGTTGTGTACAGGATTAGAATATGTACAAACAAGAACATACGTTAAATAGTAATTTGACGAAGTACCGTACTATGACTATAAAAAAGTGACTGTCACATAAAGTTACACCCTGTACAAAATGGTACATACTTTATTTTTGCAGACGTACGATTAGCCAGATTCGTCAAGGAGAAGAGCGAATTGCAAGACCAAATTAGCCATTTAAAATTAGAACTAGAGGAAGAGAAGAGCAAAAGGAGGAAGCACAGCTCGACGGGTCTACTTAATGGACCGTCTTCGGACTGTGATTACGACGATGTGCAGAGTAAGGACTAATTTTTTTTTCTTAGGAGTTACTGTGCCTTTTTTTGACAGTTTGGTAGATGTTTCGATTTTAAGCTTCAACGACCTCATTAAAAATTTTTTATTTTCAGGAGAAACCAGTAAACAACTCGCGGATTACAAATTTAGAGCGCAGAAGGCAGAGCAGGATGTGGCTACGCTTCAGGCGACGGTAGCACGGCTCGAAAGTCAAGTTATACGTTACAAAACGGCGGCGGAAATATCGGAACAGTCGGAGGAGGCTCTCAAGGCGGAAAAAAGGAAACTGCAGAGAGAGGTCAGTTGCGAATCTTGTATCTTGCACGATTACATTATAATTTTGTCGATCATAAGTTACAAATGCGGATAATTTAAATTTTGTTTTAGTAATCGCTTTATGTTTGGTATTTATTTTTATTTGCACATTTAATTTTATTACAGGAGTCAAATTCATTAACAGATTTGTCGACAGACGCTTCAGAAAGCACATGAGTGGTAAATACTAACACACACTGCTTTTTGCTTGTCGCTTGATTTTCTGTCACCTAAAATAGCTTGTAAAATAATTTTTAAACAAAAATGCTATCGAAATCGTTTAGTATAGTTTAACATGTTTTCTCGTGATAAATTCTACAACATTTCTCGATATTAAATGGCACTAATTCCATATTTGTAAAATTTTACTTTAGTCTTTCAAAGTTTAATATGTATTGTTATAGCATTGGATTGTTGTTACATAATTATTATTAAACTTATGGTAACAACAATTAGTCTAACCAAATTACACTTGGAGAAAAAAAAACATTGTTACCTGGACTTTTATAAGTGGAGATGGTAAAAGGGCTTATAATAAACCTAAAAAAAATAAATGCGTGAGTAAGGGCGGCGGAGGGTTGATTTGGGGAGTTGAAAAGTTATGAAAAATTGTATCATTGGGATTTCTGGCGAAAGTTGACGTCAAACAAAAAAGTATTCAATACGAAAGTTGTAGACCATGCAAAAATCTACAACTTTAGTAGAGGTCACTTTTTAACATAACCTCAAAATTTCCGAGAAAAATGCGAAAAACAGGTTTTTTTTCTGATTTTTTTGTTTTTTATTTCTCATTTCCGCAAAAATAATTTAATTTTGACAAAACTTGGTGAAAGTATACTTTTCTCAGTCTTAAATAACCTAAAAATTTTTTAGATAAAAAAATCATGAAGCTTCTGAGATATTCACATTTTTCGGCCTGAAACACTTTTTTTTCAAAGAAAAATTCTACTTAAAAAAATCACCGCACAGAGTTCTGCCGGTAATAATTTTTTTCGTTTTGACATACTTTTTGGTGAAATAAAAAAATCTGTAATGCTAAAAAATGCAAAAAAAAAATAAAAAGTGACTTGCAACAATGAATTTTTCAGTTATTGTTGATAATTTGTTTAAATTAAAAATCATTCAAAAACTGATTACGCCATTCAATTCTACGGAAAAAAAACTAAAAAAAAACTTGTATTGCTATAAACATCTAAGTCGAATTACAAATGCACAAATGATGAATTATCTCAGGATGTTTTGAGATTTCAGCAATACAAAGTATAAAACTGCAAAGGCTACTGTTGACGCGAAATCCGAAAACCCGAAATTTTACAAAATTGTTTTTATTTTAATTTCTGGCTTTATTTGAAAACGAATTTTAAATAAATTGCATGTTTACGTTGCCACTTTTTTCGCTCTATCCAATGGCGTCAACATTTTTGCAATCCGACGTTTCGTCTTCGATGGGCCATCATCAGATTAATTTTTTTAAACATATCGCTCCTATTTTTATGACAAAATCTAGTCATTTTAATTCTGTATTAGATGATATTACTATTTTAATCGCTTAAAAAGGTTTTTAGCTATCATTAAAAATTTTTCCTGAGTACGGCTCTGAACGCTTTCAAAATACCTGTATCTATTGGAGGAGTGAGAGAGAGAGAGAGAGAGAGAGAGAGAGAGAGAGGAGAGAATAAAAGTCAATACAGCACAAAATATCCAACAATTTTTTTTAATCCATAATTTAAAAAATTGTACCTAATAAAAAAATAATACGAATTTATGAAATATTTTATTATTTCTAATTAGTATTTCTAACAGTTGTAAAAAATTGTTGGATATTTTGTGCGGTATTAAATGATATTGATATTATACTGTTATGACTTCATCCAATAGATATTTTGAAAGCATTCAGAGCCGTACTCAGGAAAAATTTTAAATTATAGCTAAAACAAGCTAAAAACTTTTTAAGCGATTACAATAGTAATATCCTCTAATTGAGAATTAAAAATAATTATATTTTGTCATAAAAATAGCAGCGATATATATATAAAAATTAATCCGATGATGGCCCCTCGAAGACGAAAAAAATGTTGACGCCATTGTATAGCGCGAAAATAGTGGCATTGTAAATATGTAATTTATTCTAAAATTCATTTTCAAATGAAGCCAGAAAAAATTAAATTTAGCAAAATTTTGGGTTTTTCCGGATATTTCCAGAACTTCCCGGAATTTTAAAACTTTCTAAACAGCGTATTGTTAGGTATAAAAAAACACAACGTTTTTCTAATCTGAGCCACCCCGTATCTCTTACTGTTTCCTAGATCCTAATGCTATCCCATCCTTACCTTAGACACACTGTATATCTATGAATTCGTTAAACTTTAAAAAAAATTAAGTACACTAATCGATCCTACGGAAAAAAAAAATTATTTATTTTATTTATTCACTATTCGACTTATGTTTATAGCAATACTGTATAAAAATAGTTTTGGGTCAAACAATGACAGTTTTTTTTTATTTTTTCCGTACAATTGAATGGTGTAATTAGTTTTTAAAATTTAAACAAATTATCAACAATTACTGAAAAATTCATTGCTGCAAGTTATTTTTTACTTTTTTGCATTTTTCAGCATGTTTTTGAACTGTGATTACAAATTTTTTTATTTCACCAAAAAGTATATGTTAAAATGAAAAAAATGATTACCGACAGAACTCTGTACGATGATTTTTTTAAGTAGAATTTTTCTTTGAAAAATAAAGTGTTTCAGGCCGAAAAATATGAATATCTCAGAAACTTCATGATTTTTTTATCTAAAAAAAAAAATTGAGTTTATTTAAGAGAGAAAGGTATACTTTCACCAAGTATAATCAAAATTAAATTATTTTTGCGGAAATGAGAAATAAAAATCAAAAAATCAGAAAAAAACCTGATTTTCGCATTTTTCTCGGAAATTTTGAGGTTATGCTAAAAAATGACTTCTATAAAAATTGTAAATTTTTGCATGATCTACAACTTTTGTATTAGATACTTTTTTGTTTGACGTCAACTTTCACCAGAAATCCCAATGATACAATTTTTCATAACTTTTCAACCGCCCCAAATCAACCCTCCACCACCCCTGCTCACCCATTTATTTTATTTTCGTTTATTATAAGCCCCTTTACCATTTCCACTTGTAAAAGTCCAGGCAACAATTTTCTTTTTTTTTCCTCTAAATGAGTAATTTTGATTGGTCTAAATGTTTTGTAGTAAAATTATATTAAATCGCAGTTTTGTTCTTTGCCACTCCGTTGTATTTATAAAAGCACATGCAACCAAGTTCGGGTGCTGTCCAGTGATGGCATAGACCAAAGTTTAAAAGCAGTTTGAAAAACAAATTCTAACTCGACTAAAAAGTATTTCAGATAATATTTTGATTCTGGAAAACTCACACCCCCCCATATAAAGTTACAGTCTGTAGAATTCGTCGGAATAGTTAACTAAATAAGCGTCTCCTATAAACATAGCATTTTTGTTTAATGAAATTATATTATAGTACTTTTTATATCGTGTGGTATCAGGTAAACAACTTGAAGCAACAGCTGATACTGATGGAAGCCTCTAATGTGGCATTAAAACAAGCTCATAAGAGGTTAAGGTAAATCGATGGGATGGCTATAATTCATACAAATAAACAGTATAGTGGATTGTATTAGTGTTGGCGAAATTTAAATTCAGACCGTATAAAACTCTTTCTTACTCTAACTGTGGAAGCAAGCTTGACGAACCGTATTTATTGTTACGCAATTTATACCGGACGCTGCCATGGCCTGTTAATTTGTATATTGCAGACCATGTCGACTTCTGGAAGAAGTAACTTTACGGAATATCGACTTTCAAAGTCCGCACAGTATGGATGTATGTAAACGTACTAATATGTTGTCATTTACTGAAACATAAATTCATTGATAACTTCTTATTTCAAGTTTTAAGTAGTTATTGAAATCGGAAATATGTTGCGCTCTATTTTTTCTCTAATATCTTTTTTATAAGTTTCTTATACAGTGAGCAGCAAAAGTATGGAATATATTTAAAAATCAGATGTTCGTTATGTGAAAAATTGCTCGGACCCGTCGAATTATATTTTTATTTAGACATTTTCTGAAACAATTTTCATTTATATAGGGTGGCCCAAAAAAAAGTTATGAAATCAAGGCCAACTTTTTTAAATGGAAACCCCTCTTTTTTGTATTTTTATTCAATTCTCCATAGAATTCTAATCAGTTTTTATGTAACATAACCTATACCTATCTTTAGCTGTTTTTGAGCTAATGGCATCTGAATATAGAATATGGAAATTTTTCAAAAATTACCCTGAGATGCTGGTTTTAAAATAAAATCATGTTTACTTCTCCATCTTAGATTTGTGTAGTTCACAGAAAGTTGCTTTAAATCATAAACATCCATAAGAAATAAGCGGTTGGTTGATTTATTTGGATCATTAGGTTGCAATGATTTGAATGTAAAAAATATAAGTGGTATTTAGGTAAAATTGAATTAAAAACGCATAATTTTATTGTATAAAATATGGTTTTGTTAAATGTCACTATTTAAAATTACGAGCCAGGTTATTTTGGAAATTTTTAGCACCGTTTCATGTTTTTTTGTAAACACAAAATACAAAAACACAAAATGTATTTAGCAGAAAGCACTCCAGTTCCCACTGACTTTGACGTTACAGTCCTTACGTATCGAGAGTAATTTTTGAAAAATTTCCATATTCTATATTCAGATGCCATTATCTCGAAAACGGTTAAAGATGGGTATAGGTTATGTTACATAAAAAATGATTAGAATTCCATGGAAAATTGAATAAAAATACAAAAAAGAGGGGTTTCCATTTAAAAAAGTTGGCCTTGATTTCATAACTTTTTTTTGGGCCACCCTGTATAGATGAAAATTGCTTCAGAAAATGCGCAACTAAAAATATAACTCGACAGGTCCCAGCTATTTTTCAAATAACGAACATCTGATTTTTAAATAAATATATTCCATACTTTTACCGCTCACTGTATATTTGAAGTTGAGTTTGTCATCAGAATATTATGCTAATATAGTCCACTGCTTTTAACACTGCTTTTTCTATTAACTTAATCATTTATTACTTTTCTTCTACGAATATGGTTTTATAGAATCTTCTAAATTTCTAGTTTTATCTTAAAAAATAATAATAACGTAATCTAAGGATATTATCCATTTGTTTAGTTTTATGTTCATTTTTTTACGGTGGTGATATCAGCTTTATTAAATAGTTCATTTCAGCATCGTGAAAAAATATTAATTTTGTTTTAAATGTTTTTTGAATTAATCGCTACGATGTACAGGACGTTAACTAAGTATATCGGCAAACTGTAAGGGGCGACTCTTTGAGTAAAAAAATTTCCACAAATCAGAAGTTTGCAGAATATTGAAACTTAAACTAATAATGTGTCTAATTAAAAGTAAAAATCCTCTAAATTCGGATGTACATATTATGTAACAGTGATGGTGATACTGGGAATCACTTATCAAAAATCTCAGGAATTTAACGCCACTGGGTATTTTGAAAATTCGGTGACTTGTAACTCATTATGGCGTTTCCAAGAGAAAAGGTATCCTTCATTTTATTCCAGAAATTAAACCATTTTCAATTTATTACTTTTTTTTAAACTTTCATTATCATTACGAAGCGTTTCGTTAAACCTAACATAACTCTAAAACTATATACTTCACAAAAAAGTTCATATGATCTTTTTCGCAAATATTTGATTTAAAATACTATGCAGTCATGGAAAGTGCAATAAAAAATTAATGCGTTTTTCCCAGGCCATACTCCTTAAATTTCATACCTTTTTCGGACTTGTCATGATTAGTTTGTATTTAAAATTGTTTTTCTCATAGAAAAAAATCCAAAAAACTTTTTTAGCAATTAATTATTTTAGATTTGATGAAGTGTTACAATGTCAATGAAAGTCAATGAAAAACAAAATATACAGGGTGTGCCATTTAACGCTCCCGCTGCCGATATCTCCGAAATGAAGAAATTTATTTTAGTTTCGAAAAATTGAGGTTGTTAGATCCCTCGAATAACTTCAAATTGTAGTTAGAACTGTTAGTTCAAATCTTTCTGTATAAATGGCGTGGCGATACTAAAAAGTGTTTTGATCCCTGGAACGTGAAAATGCAGTCCATCTGAAAGATTGTTAAATTTTGAGAATTTTGTAATATAAAGTTTTTCTCTATATTTACTTGTTTTCGAGGTATGTGGACTTCAATATGCAATGTATGATATAACAGGAAAATCTATTATTTTATTTAAATCACACCGAGACAAAATATTCTTTTAAAATATTCTTAGAATGGCTTTATTCACATCACATACTAACTAACAAACAATGAATTATAAAAAAAAACAAATGATCAACTACAGAAAAAAAAAGTACAATGGTAAACCGTATTTTATCAAATGTTATTAAAAAATGCAGTCATAGGTGGCTCATGTCATTTGTTTAAAACAAAATGACAGATGACACATATTAGTTTTTCAATAATTACAGTTTTATCAGTTTGCGTCATTCAATTTAACTAAGTATACTATAGTACGACCATATTCGATGCAAAGTAATAAATCATTGCCTGTCAAGGGAACCAATGAAGTACGCCTTTAAGGGTTTTACAAATTGAATAATTTCTTTATACATTATGAAGGGACAAGGGGATCAGTTCAGGTCTGACACCCTTGTTGCTACAAAAATTCCTTTATTCTCATAAACTATTTATTTTAAATGTAATTTATTATAAATCCAATTTGTTTCCTAAATTCCACATATGTACTACATTTTACCTCTGTACGCGCCACTGTTGTTTACTTGTTTTTTGGAAGCGCTCTCTAATTGACGGCAAAGCTCGCCAGGTTAGTATTTGACGTATAACCGACCAGTTCGTACACTCGATGCACCTGGGCGACTACAGCTACTACCAGAACACAGTGCGTATGCAGCGGTATTTCAGATTTTACATTGAATTTCATTTTAAATTTGAAATGATTTATCTTACGCCTCCTAAAAATGATGACACGATTTTCCTTTGATAAAAGGCCGACAATTTTTTGCTCTACTTTGCATCGTATACGATCCTACTATAGTTATACAATTTACCATTGTACAGTTTTTTTCTGTAGTTGATCATTTGTTAGTTAGTATGTGGTGTGAATAAAGTCATTATAACAATATTTTAAAAGAATGTTTTGTCCCGGTGTGATTTAGATGAAATAATAGATTTTCCTGTTATATCATAAATTGCATATTGAAGTCGACATATCTCGAAAACAAGTAAATATAGGGAAAAACTTTCTATTACAAAAATTACTCAAAATTTAACGATCTTTCAGATAGACTACATTTCTCATTCCAGGAATCAAAAAATTTTTTAGTATCGCCACGCCATCTATACAGAAAAATTTGAACTAACAATTCTAACTACAACTTGAAGCTATTCGAGGGACCTAACAACCCCAATTTCCGAAACTTAAATAAATTTCTTCATTTCGGAGATATTGGCATCAGGAGTGTTCCAATTTCTGATGATGAAAAATGATTTTTTTTAGCCCCTTTAACACCTTTTTCTTCGAAAACTGTCGATTCATAGACCTATGTTTACATAACCTTTCCTGTTTGAAATCACTCGCGAAGTTTGTCGACACATAATTAACACCCTGTATTCATTTAAATAATACCTAACAATTTTTTGTCCTGTAATATATCCAATTGTTTTACCAAATTTGTTAACCCAAATTAACATTCTTATTTCGTGTGTTACCACTTTAGAATTTAATTACTTCCAGAATTGACATTATTTTTTACCATTTAATTATCACTAATATGGTTGTTATCAAGCAGAATATTTTTGTGTGTAAATAATGTAATTTCTTATTTTGGTATTTTCTAGGCAAGGGATGCGCTAAGTAGAGCGGAGGAATTGGAGACGTCAAATACCCACCTTCTTAAGAGATTAGATAAATTAAAAACCGCAAAATCAGCTTTACTAAAAGAACTTTGACAGTCGACTAAAAAGTAGTTTTAGTTTACGTTATTACTGTTAAAATATTTGGGCAATTTTAGTGAGTGAAAGTGAAATAATTTTCATGTTTGATGAAAGAGAGATTAGTCACCCCTGTATCATAAACTAAAATAGTTTTTAAATTGTTTTTAATAGTGCGTACTTTTATCATTTTACCCTTCTAAAGAATTTTAATTATTACTCGATCCGCCTTTTCTGTAAGAATACAAAATTCCCTGCAATTGAATACGTAAATTGTACTATTTATTTATTGATTACAAATCTTGTTCATATATTTGTATTTATTGTTAGAACTTTAGGAGTGTAAGTTCAGTTTACTTTGTGTAAATATGTGTAATTATAGTAATATCTCAGGATTTAATATATCCGTACCAATTTTATAGATCGCTTGCATTTTATACTTAATTTCCAAATTGCGAAGCTTTTTCCGCCGGACAAAATTCAATTCGATATTATATTAAACGTGAAAGCTCAAGTTTTTAATAGCAGATAAATAAAACTATGCTTTGCGGTGTGTGATTTGCATGCGACGAGTTGCACATAAGAAAGGCTCAAAATCCGATATTTCGATAATCTTAAATTGCCAATATTTATATCAAGCCAAATCGTAACAATATAAAAATTTTATATGTGTTTACAACAGAAAGTCATCATGATTGAATTTTATTCATTTTATTTTTTTTAACAGGCATATTGCAAGTAACAGTCCGATTTGTATGTATGTACTTGAAAAATATTATTTTTCTTGTAATTTAATAATAATTTTGGGAAAGGTCCTTCAAAAAATAAACTAATTTATAGCAAGTTGTATATTGTATTAATACAGTCTCTTAGCCGTAATAACGAAATTAAAAAGCAAATTTAATTATTTCAGATTAAATAGACCAAGAAATGTAGCCCGAAAATTACCATTTTCTGCTTAATTCTTCGGCTAGGCTGATTTTTTGTGAGCAGATAGAAAAAATAGTATAAAATAATATGTACCGTATCCGCACGCTGAGGTAGGCAGGCGACATTGTTTAAAAGTCTTTGTTTTAGTAGAAATTCGCGTTTTTCGACTGTAACTTTTTTTCTGACGGTTCTACAGAAAAATGGTAAAATACGTTCGTCTTTAAAAGATCTACAAAACGACGTCTCGGGCGTCAAAAAATATCAATCCGGTCAAAAGTTACTTGCAAAAAACCGCCATTTATGCCATTTTAAATAAACAATAATAAATTGCGATGTTATCACAGTGGCTTCTTCGGACAACACTTCATCATTCCTGACTACTGCAGACAAATAATTTATGCGAAAGCCGGAATCCGTAAGTGGATTATTTCGCGAGTTATGGCCTTATAAACAAATTAACTAATTATCGCTCTGTACAAATCTGAAAAGCTATCGAGTTCCATTGTTTTTCTCAAAAAAATACATTTTTATAGCGAAGGGAAATTATTTAAAAAATTTGCTCAGCAACAAAATTAAATATGCCCTTAATTTATATTTTTTTTTAGTATTTTTTTACATGTACTAAAAGAGCATAAAAAAAATTGCAATTTGAAGAAAGATTCGTCACGATTCGTTAATAAACAGTGGAGTTATGGGCTTTCAAAGCTGAGGGTCTATTGTTGAATAAAGTGCGGACGTAGAGACTGCCGAACGCGATCAACCAGCTTCCCCCACCACACTGCCGCGTGGTACTTAATGGAAAATCTAACGCTCGGCTGAGTTTCGAAAATTATTTTATGTGATTTCTCTTGTCCGTACAATTAATATTTACTGTACTGAAAGCGCCTCCGGCTGCTGATTATGTGCATTTTTTTTCCGCTCTGCACTTTATTCAACAATAGACCGTCAACTTTGAAAGATCATAACTCCGCTGTTTATTAACGAATCGTGACGAATCTTTTTTCAAATTGAACGTTTTTTTATGCTCGTTTACAGGGTTCATAGTTCAAAAGTAATAAAGAATTCCCTGGCTTTTCCAGGTTTTCTCTGACTTATAAAAAAAATCCAGGTCACTTGTAGTTCATTTTTACATACTAATTGATGTGTATGCATTAAACTTTTTCTCGACTGGACTCCCATAATTTTTTTATATCTAAAAAACCTCGTATAAATGTTTCAAAACCGCAAATAGTTTTCTCTTTGAAGAACCCTGAGCCTGCTTTCACAAAATTTCCAGTAGCAAATTTCAAATTTCCTGACTTTCATAAATATTTTTTAAATTCCCTGACTATTCCGTTTTTTATGAAGAATAATGAATTCCCTGACTTTTCCTGGTATTCCCGGTTTTCCCTGCCGCTATGAACCCTGTTTTAGTACATGTAATAAAATACAAAAAAAAATTATAAATTAAGGGTGTATTTAATATTGCAGCTGAGCAAATTTTTTAAATAATTTCCCTTCGCTTTAAAAATGTATTTTTTTGAGAAAAAACAATGGAACTCGATAGCTTTTTGTTAAATCTCCCAGTAAAAAAATTGGCGCGACTTCGGGTACCGCTCAGATTTGTACAGATCGTTAACTAGTTTATAAGGCTTTCGCATAAATTATTTGTCTGCAGTGAGGAATGATCGAGTGTTATCCGAAGAAGCCTCTGTGATAACATCGCGATTTATTATTGTTTATTTAAAATGGCATAATTGGTGGTTTTTTGCAAGTAACTTTTGACCGGATTGATATTTTTTGACGCCTGAGACGTCGTTTTGTAGATCTTTTAAAGACGAACAAAAAAGTATTTTACCATTTCTCTGCAGAACCGTCAGAAAAAAAATTACAGTCGAAAAACACGAATTTCTACTAAAACGAAGACTTTTAAACAATGTCGCCCTCCTTTTCCAGCGTGCGAATATGCTACATATTATTCTACACTATTCTTACTATCTGCTCACAAAAAATCAGCCTGAACGAAGAATTATGCATGCATGCCGCTATATTTGCTGGTCTATAAAGTGTTCCTGTGATCATCAGTTTTCAGCCGACTATGGATTCATTTAAAAAAAAAGATCAAATTTAAGAAAATAGCATAATGCATGCACTGGTTTTTATAATCACGTTTCACGGTGTCATTATCTCAAAGAGCGAATGTACATTTTTAAAAAATATAAACTCAATGGGCAACCTATCAGATCTTCTCAGTAAAACAAATTGAACAAAATTCGAAGTATGTTGCCGAAATGTTACACGACAATGAGCATTGTTAGAGATAAAATTTTGTGCTCTGGTTCCATATACAGGGTGTCCCCATTAAAACTTCCCAGCTGGAAAATATCGAAATTAAAAAAACTTCAATTTTCTTTTCAAGGGGGGCACGTGATGGCGTAAGTTTTGGTGTCATTTTAAAGCTTTTTCAATTCTGCTCAAGATGACATACAACTTTTAAATTTTGGTTTGAATATGACGATAGAATCGTCACTTAAAGAATAAGATAAATTATCAACGTATGGAAGAATGTTATTTTATTAAATGTTCAGATTGGTTTCCCTCCGCTTCAATGCAATAATAAAATATTTGCTCCCCTTCCGGACCAATATTTCAAAGCATTCAAGGCAATGGCAACGCTATGAAGTTTATACAAGGAGTGAAGACTCCGTGTTAAAAAAAAGGAGCCATTTATTGGGTCAAGTAATGGCGGCCCGAATGTAAGTAAAGTATGAAAAAGGCGAGCAACAGTATCCCTGGGAGCGAACTTGTAAGCGCAGTTTCGTTACTAGAACTAGGACCCCTAGTCACTGAATTGAATGAGTACCGCCAACCGTCATGTTCGGGCCAAATGTATGTTTGGTTGCATATAGTTATCGATTAGATCTCAAGTTCCAGTACTGCTGTCCACATACGGTACTGTCACAAACTATGCAACCATATATTCAATTCTGTTCTGTCAATCCAAAGACATTAGCATTTAAAACAATGCAAAACAGATATAAGCGAGGTCGCCTATTACCTGACGCTAGGAAGTATAAATGCGGCCTAGAAAGTCTAATATACTAGATATCTATTCTCCATTCCTTGTTTGTCTACACTCTATAGTTCTGTGGTTGACTGTCTTCGTCTATCATCTATAATGGTATTTATATTTATATGTTTTGTTGATTTTTTGTTTTGTCTAGGTCTTTATCACATACTTCTATCTGGGATAGAAGTATGCGGTCTTTATAAAAACCCTTCAAGCATATATTACTGGAAGCAACGGCCCAGTGGCCGAGAGTACATACATATAGCGGAGGTTGTGTGTGTGAGAGAGAGATATATATATAGGAGGGTATATGTAATATCTCTCTCGCTCTCTCTGGCAGCATGCGATTGGTTCTGCCGTGAACAGCTGCTTCTGTCGTTGACAGGGGGAGAAGACGATAGCCAATCGCATGCTGATAGAGAGAGATAGCACATCCCATCCTTTACCTCTCTCTCTCTAAACCTCCACTACGTTCTCGGCCATTGTCATTTTACCTCCAGTGCTCTAAGGTTTTGTCAGTTTTGTGGTCTAATATTTGATTTGTTATTGGTCTGTGGTCTAATACGTTTTTTGGCTGTTCATTTTAATTGTATAGTTAGCAATTACAATATTTCAGAAAAATGAATGAAGTAGAAAAATTAGAGTACCTTTCATTAGTTTCTAAAGTATGTACCGAGCTGGAAAATCATTTAGGAATGAACGATAAAGATTTAGGTAATTTTCGTAACTAAATAGTGTAGTTGTAGAGGTTATATTTTTACATTAACTTTTCCGTTTTAGCTGAATTTATAATACACCTATCGGAAAAAAATAATACACCCGACACATTCAAAAAAGCACTAATTGAAAATGGAGCAGAATTTTCAGACTCATTTATGTCCAATCTGTTACGAATTATTCAGCACATGAAACCAAAAAACAAATCGGGTGAAGATCAAAAAGTTCAGGAAAAGGATAGTCTGGCTCAAAAATTTCCAGGGTTAGCCATTCCAGATGAACCTCAAAAACCGTTAACTAATTTTGAATTGACGGATGAAAATGACGAGAAAATGACTGATACCGTCGCAGATATAATGGCACAATTTGAGGCACATGCACCTTCCAGTAAAGAGAAGGAAAAACGAGATTCTAGAAAGGAAGGAAGTCAAAGTCCACAGCGTAAAAAAGTTAAGAAAAGCACGAAATCTCCAAGCAGAAGAAGGAGATCAAGAAGTAGATCTTACCAGAGAGACAGTAAAAGAAATAGATCTAGATCTAAAGACAGGAGGAGCAGAAGGGAACGTGAGCAACGTGATGGTCGCAATAGATCGAGACATCGGCAAAGATCCAGGGAGAGATCAAGAAGTAGGTCAAGGGATAAGAGAAAAGATCACTTTAACAGGAGACATAATCATGACAGAGGCAGTCCAGAATTGGAGGAGGATCCGATTACAGGAAAGGTATTGCTTTCGGAATAGTATTAGTAAATTCTAATTCATTAAACTTTTTCTGATTAATATGATTTATTTTAAGATTTACATGGGCAAAGTGACAAATATTGTTCCGTTTGGATGTTTTGTACAGTTAGAGGGACTAAGAAAAAAATGGGAAGGTCTGGTGCATATCTCACAACTTCGAGCAGAAGGTAGAGTAACCAATGTTTCAGAAGTAAGCAGAGTTAAGGTAAGGCACATTTTTTTAATCGACATTTGGCAGTAGTACGGATCATTATCGATAATTTTAGTGTGTGATTAAATCATTTTTATTGATGAATATAAATAATGTTTATTATGAATGACGACTGTGATTATATCCTTAACTGTATCACTAATATTGCGAGACATTAAGAACATGCATTTTGAAGTTGTTAAAATATTAACGACGATGTTTAATTTGTAAAAAGAGATTTAGTATTGTTCTAATCGCTGATTTAATAAAAAGAAAAGAAGAAATTCAAGCTTATATACAATATAGTGTCTGTCGGCATGAATTTCCTAGATATTGATCAAGATATGCTTTATTTACACTGTGATTTAGGATTATTTTATAATTTCTTATACAAAATAGACCTTTCTGAGTAACTTTCTATTACAATAATAAATTCACATATTTGTAATGTTGATTCGTTAAATACTGACTTACCGTAAATAGAGATTTGTTCCTAATTTTATTGCATTTTAAACTGTGTTTAAATAAACAATTTGTTTCTGTAATACGGCCTATTAAGATACGAATTTTGAGAACACTCAAAACAAAAACATACCTTTCAAAGTTGTAATACCGACGATATTTTGTAGGTAAAAGTTCTTTCGGTAACGGGACAGAAGGTATCGCTTACAATGAAAGACGTGTGCCAGATAACTGGAAAAGACTTGAACCCACTGTCCCACATCCTGACAGAAAGAGAAGACAAAGACAGGAATCCCGACAGACCCATAACCAGTAGCACTTCCGTTCTCAGGTTGCCGGTAGGTACGGACGAGGGAGAAGATGATTCAAGGAAACGCGTGACGAGAATATCGAGCCCAGAAAGATGGGAAATAAAGCAGATGATCTCCTCGGGTTGTATAGATAAAAGCGAGTTGCCCGATTTCGATGAAGAAACCGGTCTTCTTCCGAAAGATGAAGATGGCGGCGAGGCTGACATTGAAATAGAATTGGTTGAAGATGAACCACCTTTCTTGCAAGGTAACCATTTATCATGTACTCGATTATTTCTAACGAGCGTTCAAATAAAAACGTGGTCGAAGTTGGCTCTGACACATTGGACGTAGGGAGTAGCTTATAGCGACCAACTTAACCTCATTTCTACGAGCTGTATAGCAGCTGTCAGTTTCAATAACGTTAATGACTGTATAACTTTATTTTAAAGAATAATCGTGATAATAATAAACAATTAAAGAAGCTGCGGAAAGTGTCCCCCTCCTTGTTCCAAGCACTTTTCACACCTGTTCCTCAAAGAATTAAAGACATTTTCTAAGATGCCCGGGGTATTGTTAATTTCATGAATCTTGTCTATAAGTCGAGCCTGCAGATCGTTTAAATCAGGAATAGGCAGTTCAAAAATAGTGTTTTTAAGGTAAGGCCACNAGAAGTAGGTCAAGGGATAAGAGAAAAGATCACTTTAACAGGAGACATAATCATGACAGAGGCAGTCCAGAATTGGAGGAGGATCCGATTACAGGAAAGGTATTGCTTTCGGAATAGTATTAGTAAATTCTAATTCATTAAACTTTTTCTGATTAATATGATTTATTTTAAGATTTACATGGGCAAAGTGACAAATATTGTTCCGTTTGGATGTTTTGTACAGTTAGAGGGACTAAGAAAAAAATGGGAAGGTCTGGTGCATATCTCACAACTTCGAGCAGAAGGTAGAGTAACCAATGTTTCAGAAGTTGTGTCTAGAGGAAGCAGAGTTAAGGTAAGGCACATTTTTTTAATCGACATTTGGCAGTAGTACGGATCATTATCGATAATTTTAGTGTGTGATTAAATCATTTTTATTGATGAATATAAATAATGTTTATTATGAATGACGAGTGTGATTATATCCTTAACTGTATCACTAATATTGCGAGACATTAAGAACATGCATTTTGAAGTTGTTAAAATATTAACGACGATGTTTAATTTGTAAAAAGGAATTTAGTATTGTTCTAATCACTGATTTAATAAAATGAAAAGAAGAAAGTCAAGCTTATAGACAATATAGTGTCTGTCGGCATGAATTTCCTAGATATTGATTAAGATATGCTTTATTTACACTGTGATTTAGGATTATTTTATAATTTCTTATACAAAATAGACCTTTCTGAGTAACTTTCTATTACAATAATAAATTCACATATTTGTAATGTTTATTCGTTAAATACTGACTTACCGTAAATAGAGATTTGTTCCTAATTTTATTGCATTTTAAACTGTGTTTAAATAAACAATTTGTTTCTGTAATACGGCCTATTAAGATACGAATTTTGAGAACACTCAAAACAAAAACATACCTTTCAAAGTTGTAATACCGACGATATTTTGTAGGTAAAAGTTCTTTCGGTAACGGGACAGAAGGTGTCGCTTACAATGAAAGACGTGTGCCAGATAACTGGAAAAGACTTGAACCCACTGTCCCACATCCTGACAGAAAGAGAAGACAAAGACAGGAATCCCGACAGACCCATAACCAGTAGCACTTCCGTTCTCAGGTTGCCGGTAGGTACGGACGAGGGAGAAGATGATTCAAGGAAACGCGTGACGAGAATATCGAGCCCAGAAAGATGGGAAATAAAGCAGATGATCTCCTCGGGTTGTATAGATAAAAGCGAGTTGCCCGATTTCGATGAAGAAACCGGCCTTCTTCCGAAAGACGAAGATGGCGGCGAGGCTGACATTGAAATAGAATTGGTTGAAGATGAACCACCTTTCTTGCAAGGTAACCATTTATCATGTACTCGATTATTTCTATTTTCTACTGATAATAATGAAAATGTTCTCAATGTGTATTTGAGAATATTCACAAATGCGTGCGCATAAATAAACCATAGTACAAAAATGTTTTCTTCAGAAACACAAAAGAGAAAATTTTTTTTTACCTTTTTAAATATTGCTTTTGTAAATAAATATTGAAAAATGGAACATTTAAGAGCATTTTCTGGAAATTTTGAGAATATTCAGCATTTTTACAAGAGTTCGAGAATAATCCAAAATGTTTATTAAAAGTCTACATAAAAAATAATTGATTATTTTTTACATGTTTTTTCTAAAAGTTGTCACTGTAAGGGTTAATTTGAAATGTTTAGTTTAATATTTGAAATTATAATTTTTTTTTGCCACTAGCCCACAAAATTATTGTTTTTAGGTCACGGCCGGGCCCTCCACGATTTGAGTCCCGTACGTATTGTAAAGAATCCCGACGGCTCCCTGGCCCAGGCAGCTATGATGCAATCGGCTCTGGCTAAGGAAAGACGAGAACAAAAAATGTTACAGAGAGAACAAGAGGTCGATTCGCAGCCTTCGGGCAAAAACAAAAGTTGGATAGACCCCTTGCCCGAGGAGGAGTACAAGAGCACCTCGGCGCGAGGAATTGGACTGCAGTCGCAGGATTTACCGGAATGGAAGAAGCACGTCATCGGCGGCAAGAAATCGTCGTTCGGGAAAAAAACCAATTTGAGCATAATAGAACAGAGGCAGTCCTTGCCCATTTACAAATTAAAAGAAGAGCTGCGCAAGGCGGTGACGGACAATCAAATTTTGATAGTTATCGGAGAAACCGGTTCCGGAAAAACGACCCAAATCACCCAATATTTGGCAGAAGCGGGTTTTACCTCGAGGGGCAAGATCGGCTGCACGCAGCCTCGTCGAGTGGCGGCGATGTCGGTGGCGAAACGGGTGGCGGAAGAATTCGGTTGCAGGTTGGGGCAGGAAGTGGGCTATACCATACGTTTCGAGGACTGCACCAGTCCCGAAACTATAATTAAATACATGACGGACGGCATGTTGCTGAGAGAATGCCTCATGGATTTGGATCTTAAACAGTATTCGGTTATTATGCTCGACGAGGCCCACGAACGCACGATACACACCGACGTCTTGTTCGGCCTCCTAAAGCAGGCGGTTACGAAAAGAGCAGAGTTAAAACTGATCGTAACGTCGGCCACCTTGGACGCCGTCAAGTTTTCTCAGTATTTCTTCGAGGCTCCGATCTTCACGATACCGGGACGAACGTTTCCCGTGGAGGTGTTGTACACGAAAGAGCCGGAAACCGATTACTTGGACGCCAGTCTGATAACTGTGATGCAGATTCATCTGAGGGAACCCCCGGGTGATATACTTTTGTTTTTGACCGGTCAGGAAGAGATCGATACGGCCTGCGAGATATTGTACGAAAGAATGAAGTCTTTAGGTAAGATTTTTAACTTATTTTATGGTCCTTGTTAGAAGCTGTTTTGATACAATGTTTATATAGGGTGATTCACAGCTTAACCAAAAACATTTGGGAATAGATGCGTCGTGAAAGATGTAGTCAATTTTGTAAACAAATTTTTTACATCACTGGGTTACTGTAGTGTCTAGCGTCATATGTGCTGTACACAAAGCGCTCTCTCCACGTTGCCTAAGGCGATTCCGAAATACTGAAATCCGATTTTAGTACATATTAACGTTTTTGTGATAGTGTTTACATTAGTTTTTCAAGTGTCAAAGATGGCTATATGTATAGCAACTCAAGAGTTGATGGATATCGTTTTAATTTATGGTTAAGCAAGTAAACTGTTATGGCTAAGCATACGTTGTCATATTATATATATTACTAGTGGACCTGACAGACGTTGTCCTCTTCAAACGTTAAATTAATTTAAAAAACATTATCTATGAGATCAAATTGTGAATCTAAACCATTCTCGAATCCACTTGAACACACACAAAAAATTTCATCAAAATCGGTCCAACCGTTTAGGACGAGTTCAGTGACATACACATGAACAGAAGAATAATATAAAGATATGTCAAATTATTTTATTAATTAAAACCACACATTAATTTTATTAATTAATAACGATAGCGACAAAAGTAGTTGAATTTGCCGATATAAAATAGGTGTTATAAAATTTTATTTATTTCATTCCTTGGGAAAGAAATTCTTTCAATTTTTTGTCCATTTATTTTTTATTAAACTTTGCTGTCTTGCCGGTCGTCGACTGCATGCTTTGCATTAAAAAAAATTTTTTTGGGTAAGTTCCAATCACCCTGTATATTTTTTTCTTTGTTGGAGGGTGACACGAAAATGTGTAATAAATTAAGGAGCATTATTTCTCGACCAAATTAAGAATATTCTTTTTACGTAAACGTTTATTCTTATGAGTTACAGAATGCTAGTTTTCAAAAGTTTTTATTTGTTATTGAAATTGGAAAGTGCGTTGTAACACAACGATGCCATATCGAACTGCTGTTCGTGACGTCACTGGTACAATTCAATGCAGTTGGGCCATGTAGCTCGTAGAGTAGTTGTTTACCGTAATATCTTCAGTTAAAAATCTTGTCTGTGACTTTTTAGGTCCTGATGTTCCCGAACTGATTATTTTGCCGGTGTATTCGGCTTTACCTTCGGAAATGCAAACGAGGATATTCGAACCGGCTCCCCCCGGCAGCCGTAAGGTGGTCATCGCTACCAATATCGCCGAAACCTCCTTAACCATCGATGGCATATTTTACGTAGTTGATCCTGGATTTGTAAAACAGAAAGTATACAACTCTAAGACCGGAATGGATTCCTTAGTAGTTACGCCAATATCCCAGGTAAATATTTTCTCTCGTGAAATGGATCATGATAAAAACTTGGACCACACTTGCCCTGTTGATTTTGCAATTATGTTTCTGAATAATAATAATAATGATAATAATAATAATAATGGTCGATTGTATTTCAGAAAGCGTCATTTCAATTTCGTTTAGTAAATATAATATCGTAAAGTGTTGTTTGTATTTCAGAATAGTCGCTTTAGTTTCGGAATATGTCAATAGTATTTGAGAAAGCTGAAATTATTTTTTATTTTAATTTTTATTGCATATACGGTAACGTACTATGTAGATTTCCAATCGGAACACAGTTCTATTGGCATGTATACTAGGGTGGGTCAAAAAATCGACTATTCTTTTTTACTTTGTACTCTGAAAAATAGACACTCTAGACACCTCTAGAAAATTCTCTCCAGATATGAGCTCTTAATTTTAATAGGAAAGTCTTCCGCTTTACAGTTTTCCATTTTTTTCCTCAGTATTAGAAAGAAAATATATCTCTCTATCAACTGCTTGTTAAAAATATCTCTCCTCATATGCTTGTAGGAAATTGAACGCTCTACAAAATAGGTCTCTTACAATTTTTTCCTAAACCTCACGGTTTAAAAGATGTTAAAGGTTGAAGTTTGATTAATTTAAGACAAATTTCTGTTTTCCTTGTGAATTTTATAACTCGTTAACAAAAAATCATTATGAAATGCGGAATTCATAGTGTTCTAGGAAGTTAACTGCTCTACAAAAATGGTCTCTTATGATTAGTCGATTAAATAAAGCGTTCAAAAGATATTCATCGTCAAACTTCAATGCACGCCAATTTTAACAGTTTTTGATTAATAATTCGGAAAATTTCAATTTATTTTATAAGTGTCAGGGAAATTTATACAAATTTGAGTTTCTATGAACAGAGAAATGTTTTAAACTATTTTTCTAGTTTTTTTTAGTCGTAAGCATGTTTGGTTACATCGAAAAAAATTAGTGCATTATTTCTGACTGAGAGTCAATGATTCATTAAATCTTGAAAAAATAACATTTTTGTTAGAAATTTATTATGAAAAGTATTAATCTTAAAAAAAAAATGTTCAATGTGTTATTATCGGTCGATAGCCGCACGGGTTAAGGCGTCAGTACTTAAATCGTGTGCAAATTTCTGCCCGGGTTCGATTCCCGCGGCTATGCTTGTACGGAGGATTGGCACCCTCTGTGTAAGTATGGTAGGGTGGAAGAATGTAGGCTTGGGTCAATGATGAGAAATTGACACCGGTTGGGCACAAATGCGGCCTGCCTAATAATAAATTCCGCTTCCTCTCCCGCACAAGTCTCCGACTTATGGTCTAATTCTCGTAGTTAGAATGAGGAGTAGAGATATTATTATTATTATTATTATTATTAAAAAGTTTTTTTATTTCATTATCAAGTGAGTTATAAAATTTCAAACATTTTGGTTTTGTGCTGATTTTTTTTTTTTTAAACTTTTTTGTAATTTTAACCATTGAGTATGATAGCGAAGAATTTTTTTGACTGCATTAGGACCTTCACTAGCTGGAATCTAATTTTTTTTCACAGTTCAATAACTTAGTCAACTGAATTTTTAGCACTTTGAATGAACACTTTAAAACTTTCAGTTGATAGAATAATACACTCATAACCTTTTTCACTGTTGGTAACTTACATTCCAAAATTTTTTGCATAGATATACGGATCAAACGAATTTCCTTATCCATTATAGGTTAATTAATAATAAATAAATTTATGTAGTGATTATAAGACTTATATAATAAACTCAAACAGAAGTAATGAAATTCAAAACAAAAATCCCCTAGAACGAAAAATTTTATGTATATTTTGTGGAAAAATGTTTTGAAATACGTTCTGAACACACGCTTTCAAACAAACATAACAACACGATCAGGATTTATAAAAATATTATCAGAATAAAAGTTTCAAATAAATTTTCGAACAAGGAATTTCTCTATAATGATTACTTTTACGATAGAAACTCAAATTTGTATAAATTTCCCTGAAACTCGTAAACTAAATTGAAATTTTCCGAATTATTAATCAAAAACTGTTAAAATTGGCGTGCATTGAAGTTTGACGATGAATATCTTTTAAACGCTTTATTTAATCGACTAATCATAAGAGACCATTTTTGTAGAGCAGTTAATTTCCTACAAAACTATGAATTGCGCATTTCATAAAGATTTTTTGTTAACGAGTTATAAAATTCATAAGCGAAACAGAAATTTATCTTAAAATAATCAATCTTCAACCTTTAATATCCTTTAAACGATGAGGTTTACGAAAAAATTGCAAGAGAACTTTTTTGTAGAGTGTTCAATTTCCTACAAGCATATGAGAGATATTTTTAATGAACAGTTGATAGAGAGATATGAATTTTTTTTTCTAATACTGAGGAAAAAATGGAAAACTGTAAGTAAAAAAAAAAATAGACGATTTTTTTGACCCACCCTAAATTGTATACGTGTTTCTTTAAACGGACGGGGTACTCATCCAGAGTAATCGTTTCCTGCAATATATCAATGAAAAAAATTTAAATGTCTGAATACAAAATTTGTGCTGTGAAGTCGTAATAGTATTTGCTTGAGGTTTGGTAACAAAATTATGTAATTATAAAAGTTCTAGTCATTCTAAAATGTCGCTTATATGAAAATTTATAATTTTGTTTCTGAAAAAAACGACTATTATGAACTCTGAAATAGGGACTAGTATATAAAATTCAAATTACATTTTCTGAAATACATCTGAAAAAAAATGTACTCAGTTTTAATCTATGAGACTTCAAGAGCAGATAGTACAATGGAAAATAATGGTACTTTGTCTTGTCACATAAACTTATTTTGAAATCTTAACTGTTTTCGAGATACATGCTCTTAACAGTTAAAAAAAATATTCATCTACTGTAAATATCTTCTGAAATAATAGAGGTATTTGAACTAAATTTGGTGTAGGTTATGTCTCCATAAAATACTGTAATATCAAGACTTTTGGCCAACCAGTGGCGGAGATACGAGAATCTCATTTGACTATAAAAAAAAATAGTATGCAAAGTAATAAAATTGATTATATTTTCTGACAAAGACAAAAATTGTTTCTTACATTTTGTCGATATCTGTCTGTTTTACGGCAAATTGGATTTCTTTTTTTCATTTCAAATTAATCATGTGCTAACGGATTTTTTAACAGATATCGAAAAATGTAAGAGGTATTTTTTGTCCCATTGGCATGCTTTTTCAGAAAAAATAATTAATTATTACTTTACACAGGACCGTATTATTATTATTTTTTATAATATAGTCGAATGGGTTTCCCATATTTCCAGCACTGGTTGCACAAATGTCTTGATATTACAGTATTTTATGGAAACTTGACCCTATACAGGGTGTCCCGAAATTCATGCAACAAAATTTGGTCACAGATTCCTAGGACAAATTTAGGGGACCCGTATTTTTTCTTTTTGCCAAGTGGCCCCCTCTTTCGGAGTTACAGCCCCCCTGAAGTCTGCCCCTAAGAATAATCTTTTTTTTGTATCTCACAACCCTGTTATACGAGAATCACTAAATTTGGTACACAGGGGTTTTATGACATGTGGAATCTGGTGGTGCTACGTATTTTGGCGGGGAACCCCCTTAAGACAATTTTTTGTAGGCCCCCTTGTCTTTGGAGCCAAAAAAATTTGGTCACATATTTAAATTTCTTAAAACTTATTAGTCCACTAGAAAGCCATTAAATTTAGAAACTTTTTGTCTCTTTATACTTTTTTCGTAAAACGCAATGTTTTCAAATGTCAAAATGTGATCGAATGCATATTGCGTTTTATAAAACAAATATCAAGAGACAAAAAAGTTTCTAAATTCAATGGGTTTCAAGCTAACTAATAATTTTAAATAAATCAAATTTGAGATCAAGTTTTTCTGGTTCCAGACAAGGGGGCCCACGAAAAAATGTCTCAAGTGGGTTTCTCGCCAAAAAGCGTTGCACTGTGAGATTCCACATGTCATAAAACCCCTGTGTACCAAATTTAGTGATTCCCGGACAACATGGTTTGAGATATAAAATAGACTTCTACAGGGGCAGATTTCAGGGGGCTGTAACTCCGAACGAGGGGGCCACTTAGCAAAAAGAAAAAATACGGGTCCCCAATATTTGTCTTAAGAATCTATGACCAAATTTTGTTGCATGAATTTTGGGACACCCTATATAACATACAACAAATTTAGTTGAAATACTTCTATTATTTACAGTAAATGAATTTTTTTCTTAACCATTAACACCCTGTATCTTGAAAACGGTTGAGGTTTCGAAATAAGTTTATATGACAATGTACCATTTTTTTCGTTGTACTATCTGCTCCCGAAGTCTCATAGATTAAAACTGAAACACTCTGTATAACGAGACATTTTCCGTTCTGAGAAAATGTGTTGAGGAGATGAAAAGGAAGAATACTAAAACATAAAATATAAACGTAAAGATAAGTTGTTGATATTCTTCTTTAAAGTTTCGTATTTCATGACGATAAACCTGTTTGTTCTCGTCAAAGACAACATTACAATAGTCTATTTAAAGAAATTTCATTTCTTTATAATATTTTCGAAACTACGAAAGATAGTCCTCAATATATTAAACATCTCTCATTTTCAGGCCCAAGCCAAGCAAAGAGCCGGTCGCGCGGGGCGTACCGGTCCAGGGAAGTGTTATAGGTTATACACGGAGAGGGCGTATAGGGACGAAATGTTGCCGACGCCGGTACCCGAGATTCAACGAACAAACCTGGCCACTACGGTGTTGCAATTGAAGACCATGGGTATTAACGATCTCTTGCACTTCGATTTCATGGACGCCCCTCCCGTTGAATCTCTTATTATGGCCCTGGAACAGCTGCATTCTCTGTCGGCTTTGGACGACGAAGGTTTGCTGACTAGACTAGGGAGGAGGGTAAATATACTTTTTTCATTTACTTTAGAAATATTGGGTGTTTCGGATAATAGTCCAAGCATTAAAGAGAAATGCTTACAGTAATTATTACCTGGACAAAAAAAATATGACCGTATAGAAAATTAAATTTTAAATTGAGATTCTTGTTCTTTAACCCTTTCAATGCTCCAGACGTATATATTCGCTAAAAATTTATAGGGCTCAAACTGCTCCAGACGGATTAATTCGCATGAATAGTTAAATTGGATCAGGCTGCTCAAACCGTATATATTGACAACCGTGCGCATAGTGACTCGGTTATTGCAATTGGTAAGGCGAATTTTTGCGGGCGAGCTTATACCGATTGTGACAAATATTTTTATGGAAAGAGGTACTGGTAATAGTACCAAGATTGTTCATGTTTCTTTCAGTTTCTATTTAGTACATATACTGTATTTTATTCAAAATAAAATCGTAAAATTTATCGTAAATCGGAATTTAACACAACATAATGTAAAACTATAAGTGGTATAACTGCTCCAGACGTATATATTCGCACGCGATAAACAATCGCGCATGGCGCGGTAGCTACGTTCAGACGTATTGCGCAGCGAAAGGGTTAAACTCTATCCAAAATGGCGAACATGGTTAAAAAAAATAGCAAAGTTGCAAAAAAACGGTTTTTCTAAAATAACTAAAAAAATATAGCACCGATTGAAAAATTTTAAATGAGAAAGTTGTAAATTTTAAAAAGATCTATCGACTGATTTTTTGTAAGTATCGATTGTTTTGTTACTTTTCGAGATATATCTAAAAAATCGTTAAAAATCTCTTTTCTCTTCTTCTATAACTCGTTTACATTTACGTTTCCATATTTGCTATTTACTACAAGCATAGCCCGCCGCAAGCCAAAAAAGAACATTTTTGAAAAATTTAAAAATATTTGTTATTTTTCGAAATATATCGATTTTTTGAAAAAAAGGCGCTCTCGAAAATTGGCTAGATCTCCTCAGCGGGTAGCCCTACAGTGACGATTTTCGGTTTATTTTCTTCGTAAAGTTATATTATCATGCTTTTAAAAAATTTTGACGATTTTATTAATTTTAAGGATCAAAAAATGCCTTTGAAAAAGTTGCACTATTTTTGGATGTTTTTTTCAAATAACTGTTTCAATTTTCATTTTATGAAAATGACTTTTAAAGAAAGAAACTGCTGACATTTTTTCACGAATTTTAAAAAAAATTATGTTTTCTACGACCTTCTTCTGGAGCCGAGATAATTTTTTTATTAAAAAAAAATTTTGAGGACGCAATTAACATTTTTCAGCGATGCGCTTGATGGATATATTTAAAAAAAATAGTAGGAAATGTTTACTTGATTTTTAGTATTAATAATTGAGTAATAAACGTGCAAGCGCTGAGTGTGTCAGCCAGCTGGACCGGACGGAGAAGTAGGGGGAAGCGGCGCACGCTCGCTCTGAAAACTGATGACGTGCAGTCTAAATAGCTCGCGCTTGCAAAATCTTTGATATCTCGGCTTCTGGACCACATACAAAAATTCTTTTGTACTTAATCTGGGGTAGCTAAACACGAATATTACAGTCATTTTCGCCTTATAAGCAAAATAGTCCCGTAAATGTTTAGTTTTTATTTAATTTACATTTTTTTGCATTTAACGTCATTTTAATAATTAATAATATTACAGTAGTTTTTGTGCAATACCTTAATTTTTTTACTTCATTAATCATACTGACATACTTGTTGCTGGCTTTTTAACAATTACTTCATCATTTCAATAATTAATTAATTTTGGTGTAAAATAAGTTTAAAGAATTTAATTTATTTACAAAAATATTTAATAATTGTACAACTATGTACAAAATATCTATAAAATTATTACAATGAAAACTAACAAGTATCCTATATACATAGATAAAATTTTTATCGAATGAAATCCTTCTTTTCTTTGTCGGATTGTCTTTTGATTTATTTTCTTGTTCGTCGTCCATATTTTCGTGAAGAAGTATAATAAAAGAAAAAAAATATATAAGTTAAATAAAAACTAAACATTTACGGGACTATTTTGCTTCTAAGACGAAAATGACTATAATATTCGTGTTTAGCTACCCCAGATTAAGTACAAAAGAATTTTTGTACGTGGTCCAGAAGCCGAAATATCAAAGATTTTGCAAGCGCGAGCCATTTATATTGCACGTCATCAGTTTTCAGAGCGAGCGCGCGCCGCTTCCCCCTACTTCTCCGTCCGGTCCAGCTGACGCACTCAGCGCTTGCACGCTTCAGTTTATTACTCAATTACTAATACTAAAAATCAAGTAAACATATCCTACAATTTTTGTTTTTTTTTTAAATATAAGTATTCTATATTAACCTCCATCAAGCGCAGCGCTGTAAAATGTTAATTACGTCCTCTCGGCTCCAGAAGGTCGTAGAAAAACATTTTTTTTTTAATTTGTGAAAAAATGTCAGCAGTTTCTTTTTTTAAAAGTCGTTCTCATAAAATAAAAATTGAGATAGTTATTTGAAAAAAAACATACCCAAAAGAAGTGCAACATTTTCAGTCATTTTTTGATCCTTAAAATTAATAAAATCGTCAAAATTTTTTAACAGCATGATAATATAACTCTTTACGAAGAAAATAAACCGAAAATCGTTACTGTAGGGCTATCCGCTGAGATGTAGCCAATTTTCGAAAGCGCCTTTTTTTCAAAAAATCAATATATCTAGAAAAATAATTAATATTTTTAAATTTTTCAAAAACGTACTTTTTTGGCTTGCCGTGGGCTATGCTTGCAGTAAATAGCAAATATGGAAACGTAAATGTAGAGTTATAGAAGAAGAGAAAAGAGAAGATTTTGAACGGTTTTTTCGATATATCTCGAAAAGTAACAAAGCAATCGAAAATTACAAAAAATTAAAAAAAAAATCGATGCTATATTTTTTAGTTATTTTAGAAAAACTGTTTTCTGCAACCTTGCGATTTTTTTTAACCATGTTCGCCATTTTGGATCGAGTTTAAAGAACAAGACACTCAATTTAAAATTAAATTTTCTATACGGTCATATTTTTTTTGTCCAGGTAATAATTTCTGCAAATTTAACATTAGTCCGTGACATAATGCTTGGACTATAAGAACTGACAGAGCAGGGGCATGTAGGGAGACCCAAAATATGGAAAAAATCAATAATTATCTCAGTTATACTTGAACTTAGAAAAACCAAATTTGGTAGAAGGTGTGAATCCACCAAGACTATTAATCGACAGTAAGTAAAGTTCAATTGAAGCATTTTAAAAGGTTGATAAGGGATGATGCACCATTAAAATATCTATCAGAATTTTTTAACCCATTTGCGGACTTAAAAAATTATCACTGTATAATCATATTTTCTTCGCAGATGGCCGAATTTCCATTAGAGCCCAACCTTTCCAAGATGCTCATCATGTCGGTGGCGCTGCAGTGTTCCGACGAAATTCTCACGATCGTCAGCATGTTGTCCGTTCAAAACGTTTTCTACAGGCCGAAGGACAAGCAGGCGCTGGCCGACCAGAAGAAGGCGAAATTCAACCAACCGGAGGGGGATCACTTAACACTCCTGGCGGTGTACAACAGCTGGAAGAATAACAAATTTTCAAATGCTTGGTGCTACGAGAACTTTGTGCAAATAAGGACTCTGAAAAGGGCGCAGGATGTGAGAAAGCAGCTGTTGGGGATCATGGACAGGCATAAGCTGGACGTTGTCTCGGCGGAGAGGAACACGGTGAGGGTGCAAAAGGCCATTTGTTCGGGTTTTTTCAGGAATGCCGGTAAAAAAGATCCGCAAGAAGGATACCGGACGTTGGTCGATAGTCAAGTGGTTTATATCCACCCGTCGAGTGCGCTGTTCAATCGTCAGCCCGAGTGGTAAGTAAATTTAATGACTTAAAAGTGAAGCCAGGTTAATTTTTTTTCGTTTCAGGGTAATATATCACGAATTGGTGCAAACCACGAAAGAATATATGAGGGAAGTGACGACCATAGACCCCAAGTGGTTGGTGGAGTTCGCGCCTGCGTTCTTCAAATTTTCCGATCCCACCAAGCTCAGCAAGTTTAAGAAGAACCAAAGGCTCGAACCTTTGTATAACAAGTACGAAGAACCCAATGCTTGGAGAATTTCTAGAGTCAGAAGGAGGAGAAATTAATGTGTTCCTCTCAAGAGCTTTGTAAATAGTGTTATAGTGTAAGTATAGAACAATAAATGTACAGATTTTAAGTATTTACCAGTTTCGTTTTCATAAAAAATTTCCTCAATGTTGCTTTTTAAAAAACGTTCCGGTATTTTGTTCTTGAAGAATTTTCGAGGGTGAGCAGGAATTAAATAATAGTATATTGTGCAATAAGTGCGGTAAGTTGTCTATTGCTTACGAGAGCGGAGTTCACTCTCGCTCACTTCGTTGGTGCACTCATCCGCTCAAGTGTGCAATAGACAACCGCACGAATTGCGCATACTATTTTTTATTACGAATGCAATGAAATCCCAGAGTACAGGGGCGAAGCCCTGGTGGGGTCCGCTTATTTTTATTCAGTTTAAGTTTACATAAATATCATTTAAATATCTCTTTTTAAAAATATTTTCGAGTGTGTAGGTATTTAAATTTTGCGTGTTGGCAATTCGCGTTCAACAAGTAAGATTACCGCACGCAAATAGATAGTGTTGGCAAACAGCTAGTTACCGACCTAAAAAACATGCGAAACAATAGGATTTATTAAATGAGTAATAAAAATACATATTAAATGAAGTCGTAGTGATTTTTTGAAAAAAAAAAAAAATTCTCGGCTCCTGTTGGTAATAGGACATTTTTTTATAAATTTGTGAAAAAATATCAGCGTTCAAATGGAAATAATTCCATTCCTATTAAATTTCAACGATAAGAAAAAGATCTACATTTTTCAACCCGAAAAAAGAAACCCAAGTTTCGGTAAATTTTTCACATATTTCCAAGTATTTTGCGATATGCGCACAATTAGCACAGGAAAGACAACTTTTAAAGGAAATTTTAAGTTCAAGATGGGTTACGTAAGTATATTACTATACAGGGTATCCGGAAATTCATGCAACAGAATTGGTCATAGATTCTTAAGACAAATTTAGAGGACCCGTATTTTTTCTTTTTGCCAACTGGCCCCCTCTTTTGGAGTTACAGCCCCCTGAAACCTGCCCCTAAGAAGTCTTTTTTATATCTCAAAACCATGAACGAAAATCACTAAATTTGGTACACAGAGGTTTTATGACATGTGGAATCTCATAGTGCTACGCTTTTTGACGAGAAACCCCCTTAGGACACTTTTTCGTGGTCCCCCTTGTGTTTGGAACCAGAAATATTTGGTCGCAAATTTTAATTTCTTAAAAATTATCTGTCCACTAGAAAGCCATTGAATGTAGAAACTTTTTTGTCTATTGATATTTGTTACATAAAACGCAATGTTTTTGAGGAAAATGGCGAATCACGATATGCATTCGATCACATTTTGATATTTTTCTCAAACACATTCCGTTTTACGAAAAAAGTAGAAAGAGACAAAAAGTCTCTAAATTTAATGGCTTTCTAGTGGACTGATAATTTTTCAGAAATTTAAATATGCTACCAATTTTTTTTGGCTCCAAAGACAAGGGGGCCCACGAAAAATTGTCTTAAGGGGGTTCCCTGCCAAAAAGTGTAGTATCAGATTCCACATGTCATAAAACCTCTGTGTACCAAATTTAGTGATTCTCGTACAACATGGTTTTGAGATATAAAAAAGACTTCTTAGAGGGGTAGTTTTCAGGGGGCTGTAACTCCGAAAGAGGGGGCCACTTGGCAAAAATAAAAAAATACGGGTATCCTAAATTTGTCATAAGAATCTGTGACCAAATTTTGCTGCATGAATTTCGGGACACCCTGTATGATTTATTGAAACTTGAAAAAATTGTCTTATTTTTGAAAAACTCAATTTTTGCAAAAACAGTTAAATATTTTTTAATCTTACAAAAATGCACTTATTCTACTTGCCAAGGACATATTCTGAAAGTTTCGTAAACAATTTTTTTCTTTTTAAAGATATAGAAGTTTTAAAAATTCAATTTTTAGCCCTTTTTGCAGTAACTAATACATTTGTTGATCAATTGACAGCGTTAGACTCCAAATGTTTGTCATAAAAAGTTCTACTTTTGTCTAAATTTTTTTTCTTTTTTTTTTAATGAAAAAAACTGTTTTTTACGAACTTTGGACACCATTTTGAAAATGAAGTCCTATCATTCAGCCGAGGTAAAGTAGTTGACTCAATTCTACGGAATATTTGCTAATTTTTATGTGTCTTTGTTTACTGAACTGAATTTTGACATGATTGTAAAAATCTAATTTGATTGGATATACAAGCTTCAATTTATGGGAAGTGTCAACAAAGTGCAGCCTCGGCATTTCATTTAGATGAGGACAAATTTACATTTAGAAATCCACCGATGCCACAAGTTAACTTAGTTCAAAGGTATTCTAGAAAATGTGATTCATATTTTTTCTTTGGGGTTATCTGAAAAATTTAGTTTATTGCACTGAGGAAGTGGAGGGACTTAAATAGCAAATAGAAAACATTGTGAAACAGTTTATAGTGATAGATTTTATTTTCACCATTTGTAATATTGTTTTGCCATAAGGGGTAGAAATTCTAGAAAATGTTAAAAACGATTCAACAATAAACGTTAGATAATTCTTGATATTCTTTGGCATCATTTAGAAAACTACTACTGGTAAGTTTTTGTCTATTCGTTGTATTGTATCCTTTTAAATGGACAATTTTTCGTAAAATTACTAATTTTGATGTCATAGTAAAAAAAATATCTCAATTTTGGACACGTTTTTGTACCATCTAAGAAAAACCCTCATATTTCAATAATTTCTTCAATTTTCCTTTTGTACGCCATTTTTGGTAAATTACTTATTTCTATGAGCATGTTACAAAAAATACGTCATATGAGGGACGCCTTTTTGTACCACTTAATAAAAAAAGACCATTTTATTTCAATAATTTCTTCTTCAATTTTCTATTTACAGAATATAACATTTCCATCTTAAATCTATACAAATTTAAGTAGGTACTTCAACAAATACTGCAAAAAAAAAACACATTGTGCACAATAAAATTGACTGGAAAAAAAAAATTTACAAATCTGTCTCTGGATTCTTTCATTGCTTATTTTTAGTAAAAATTTGTTGATTAAGGTCGACATTAGACGAAGGTTTCCACCTCCTTTCTGGTCTACACGTGCCAAATTTTTGACTACCCGTTTTATTAATGCTGCTGCCGGTGCCGTAGTCTACAACCTTTCTTTTGGGAACGTGCCTCAGGGCAAAATCCCAATCCCTCTTTAATTTAATGTCGTTTAATATGGACGTTACTTGATTTAACGTTAGACTTTTCCCAGACCCGGCGCCCCACTGCAGGTACCTGTCCAGAGGTAGCTTGGCCATCTTCAGTCCTTCTTTTTTTGCCTTGGCTAACGAAAGGGGTTCAATGTTTATCTGAAACAACAGCGTAATCAGACCTATGTAGTTTCAAATAACAATATTATCTTTGTTGACCTCGGGTTAGGTCCATGGGAGCGGTCCTGCTATGGGAATTCCTCGGCCTACCTGGATGTTCATTTCAGACATCCTTGTTGGTTCTAAGACTACTATGGATGGAACCACTCCTTAGACAGTGGTATGTAGTAATTTGAGACGTTCTGTAGTAGCCTCAGTGGAACAAGAACAGAAATGAACATCAGGGACTCTATTCTTGAATTATAGGGAGTAGAAGGAACGAGAGAAAGGGGGCGTGTCTCTACTAAGACTCATTAATCGGTATTCTTGAATGGTGTTCTATTGAGTAACGATAGAATTGTTCCCTGGCTATCTGATTGTGACCTTGGATTTGACCTTGACTTTGACCTTCAATGTCATTTGAAGGTCAAGTTAATTTTTTTAAATAGGAACCCCTATTTTTTATTGCGGACTTGGAAAGAGCAGGAAAAATCTTTACCCTTTTGACTGGAATATTTTTTCCCAAAATGCATTCTTCGAAAGTTCCGCCGTACCGGGACTTTTGGAAGTCTATCGACATTTGACCTTGAAGGTTATTGTCAGTCACAGTCAAGACCGTCTTTGGATGTAAAATTTCCTGCTCTTTCCAAATCCGCAATAAAAAATAGGGACTCCCATTTAAAAAACTTCAAATGACCTTGAGATGCAAAGTCAAGGTTAAATCCAAGGTCACCATCAGATAGCCAGGGAAAAATCCTTACACTTTTGTCTGAAACATTTTTTACCAAAATGCTTTCTTCCAAAGTTTTTCTGCCGTACCAGGACTTTTGGATAACCCTGTATATTAATGTGGACAATCACCCTGTGCATCAAATTATTTATATTTCAAAGCAATTTGAATATTACCTTGTCCACTATAGCTCCTATAATGTAAATGGCATCAAAATCGAATTCTGTCATTTCTTGTCGACAGTGCGGCGTCAGATATACCAACTGATCTTTCGGAAATAAGTCTAAGTAACTGCTTTCGTGTAAATTCAGGGGAAATGAGAGCTCGTACATATTTGGAATATGTTTATGCAGGTACTTTATCAGTTCTCCACCTGGATCTGTATTACAGAAGTGCAAATCGAAAGGATCTGTAAAACGAATGACGGTTTTAATAATCTAGACATGTAAATTCGTTCATTTTGTTTCTCGTGTCTCCGTTAATTGATAGTAGGAATGGAAATCATGTGAAATAACCAATAATAAAAATGAGAGCAAAATGCGGTAATAAGTAAATTATTTTTAGAAGAAACACAAAACATTCTGTCTTTGGTCGTCTCAGATATTAAGAAAATACTATACCTTCGTGTATTCTATTCTCTCCAAACAGTAGCATAAGTTGTTTGGCACAGTTTATATTTTCTCTTTTAGTCATATTTTTATCATATCCGCAGTCTACCACCAATTTCTGGCCAAACATCATAGCTTGAAAAAGTCGATTATTGTACATTTGATTTATAGTGGAATCATAAAATCTGAGAAACATATTATTATGCGCCAGATCATATTTTAATGCAAATTCTTCTAAAGATTCATTTTTTTCTACTTCTTTTGAATTAATAAATTCTTCCCTTTTTAATTTTTTTTCAAATCGTTTTATCTAAAAAAAAGGATTTCAATCTCAAAAATGTTCACATATTTGAAAATATAAATTATTTTAAGCATCCTTTTAAATTACTATCATTTTTGGATACTGACTAAATCTCTCTGTACATGACAAACATTTACCTTTCTGTTTTCTTTCGTTTTTGATAATCTAAATAAATATTCCAAATACTTCCTTCTGGCAGACCTACTTGACAAATTTAACAATTCCTTCCAGTGCTCTGCTGTAAAAAATGTTTTTTCAGGCACCGATTTTCCTTCTTGTCTCATAACTTCTGTCTCGAGTAGGATTACTTTCAGTTTGTGTTCAACTTCTTTATCTCCTTTTGTAATATCATCAAAATTTAATTCATTTTCAGGATCTATAAAAAAAACTATAGTTAAAACTTACTAGTAATTTGAATGAACTAAGCAAATACAATTTCAAAGTTCACTATCTAAACGATCTTAAGTAATCGTATGCCTTTAAATATAAATACATAAAGCTTACCTCCTACATCTTATTTTTTAATTATATTATTTACTTATTTCTATTGTCTTAGTTGACATCAAACAAACTGTATTTAAGTAGATTATATGTTATAGAATTTGTTAAAACATTATTGCACGTACCAATATTTGTAGCAGTAGAATGTTTTCTTTTAAAACACAATTTTAATAAATCATCCTTTTGCCTTATCTGTATACTGTGAAGTAATTTACTATGAGCAGAATTTTTTTTAGTATCGTTCATTATTACCATTCCTAATTTTATTAATTTATAACCATTTCGATGAAATGAAAACATTTTTGTTCTTTTTTAAACTTTTAACTACTAGTGAATGATATCTAACCACATTTTAACAATTTCTCACTGATCAGACTTGATTCGTGATCGTGATATGATCGTGAATCGTGTGCACTTTTCTGAATTCTGAATCTGGACCACAGCACACTGTGATCTGGCTGGACGATACCATGGAATTACGACTGCAAAATTTTTATCCGAATCGCTTGATATGCAATTCCATTGGTCGATTATACTCATAGACAAAGAAAGGATGTTATATTGACTAAACTAATGAAATAACTATATCTAGAACAACCAATAATACGGCTACATAAACTATGGTTTACATTTGCTGAATTTGCGCTTTGTTGGCTTGGCTTTGAGCAAACGCAAGAACAAGAATGCAAGAACGTAACGAACACAGAACACATGCGCGTTACTCAATTTCATAACTTCATTCAGCAAGAATGTAGTTGCAAGTTTTGATTATCAAAAATGTCCACTTTAATGTGGTCTTGTCCATGTTGCTTGCGTTTTAAATTTAGTCCAGAGGAATTAGAACAACGTTATAAAAGTCAAGAGATTGATAAGATGATAGAAAAGGATAAACAGGCCATGAAAAGACAAGTGAAGGTTTTGCTATTAGGTGCAGGGGAGAGTGGCAAATCAACATTTCTGAAGCAAATGAGAATAATACACGGAATTAAGTTTGAAAATGATCTAATTAGAGAATATCAACAAGTGATATATCAAAATTTAGTTAAAGGGATGAAAGTGCTTGCTGATGCTAGGGAAAAACTGGGTATTCCGTGGGGTGACAATAACAATGTTGACTTAGGTAGAGAGTTATTTCAGTTAGACCACGGTTTGGTATTGAGCCCCGTACGATTTAACCACTACAGTTCTTTACTTTCAAGACTTTGGCAGGATTCTGGTATTCGCAGAGCTTTCGATAGACGAAGAGAATTCCAACTGGTTAGTACTTTTTTATTGTCAAGATTTGCACTTTATTAACATATGACCATTATTAGAGCAATCGACATATTATATGTTATCTCATAGAGTAAAAGAAATATTTAATTTTCCTATTATAAAGATCTGGATCTAGTGATCTGATTTTGTTCATTAATTGTATTTACGATATATTATAAAAATGACTGATTTCTTAATTGAAATTCGGAGATCTAATAATAATAGTAATAACCTCAACTTGTTCATTTATATATTAACCAGGATCTTGTTTTTATTGCTTCCAAATTATTTTTAATATTATTAAAACAACCTAATTTATAAAATTATTTGCTCCGATTCGATGAACATTAATGGACAGACTGCTTACTACATGTATTCAATTCTGAGTATGAACATATTTTTCGATGATACTGACAGGATCATGGTTGGAAAGTGATTTAAATGAGAAACCATAAAATTTATGTAAGATAATGTAACACTGACAGGAACATGGTTGGAAAGTGATTTAAATGAGAAACCATAAGATAATGTAGTGAATTTATTATAATATTCTAAAGAAATCTGTAAATATTTTAATGAAATTAATTTGAAATTGAATAAAATGTAAAATTTTTGTTGTATTTCTTCTTGAAAATTGCAAATTAATCTCTGAAATTGCTAAAATTAGACCACTGTTTTTTTAATAGTATATTTAAAAAACATCTGATGTGTATATTTTTATACATTATTTTAATTTAATTAATTAATAAAATCATTATATCATTTTGTCGTGCTAAACTTTATACAGAATAAATATGCATTTTAATCTCTTTTAAAATATAAATTATCTAAGGGATGACATATTTAAATTCTATGCATTTCAGAGCGACTCTGTGGAGTACTTTTTCAACAACCTGGAACGGATAGCTAGACCAGATTACATCCCAACGAATAAAGACATACTTCATTGTCGTAAAGCAACGAAAGGTATCACAGAATTCGTGATACCTATAAACAATATTCCATTCTTATTTGTAGACGTTGGTGGCCAAAGATCGCAGCGACAAAAGTGGTTTCAGTGTTTTGATTCCGTCACTTCGATATTATTTCTCGTTTCCTCTTCAGAATTCGACCAAGTATTACTGGAGGACAGAATAACTAACAGATTAGAAGAATCCAAGAATATTTTTGACGCAATCGTTAATAATATCATATTTGGAAATGTTTCCATTATACTGTTTTTAAATAAATTCGATTTACTGGAAAGGAAAGTGGGAAATCCCGAAACAGATATACGCTGGTATTTCCCACAATTCACAGGAAATTCCCACTCGATGCAAGATGTACAAAAGTTTATTCTGTCAATGTTTACAGGAGTGAAGAGAAACCCAAAGAAACCATTATATCATCATTTCACGACAGCCGTCGATACCGAAAACATTAAGGTAGTGTTTAACTCAGTAAAGGATACTATACTACATCGAAACTTGGAGATTCTAATGTTGGAGTGAGTGAATTTCTTTAGCATCTCAAAGTGTCTTTTTTGTTAATAGGCTGTGTTAAACACAAGATAAATTTAATTGAAGACTGACTAAGTTTAAATTAGTCCTAATTTTTAGTTTTAGACTATTTAAATTTTATCGAATTCTTGAGGTATATATTAAAGTACAATGTGTATATTTATCAAAATTACATAAATGTGATACAACTATATATTGATGTTATATAATGAATGGCGAAGATATCCCAATATCTTCAATTATTAGATCTATTGGAGTCTCGAATTTTCTATTTTATAATTGTCGTAATTATTATGTGAACACGTTAATTCTCTTTGACATAAAACTCAATGTATCGAGCCGTTTATTTCAAGTTGGTTGCCACATTTCGTTTATTATACATATATATGCATATTTATATATCATATCGTCTTAACCAAAGAAAGAATATTTTATACCTCTTGTAACTGTAATAATGAGAAATTAATCTTACTTTAACTTCCCACACGAAAGTAATTTCACATTTTTGTAGTTTTTTATAATTACGTAAAGTAATATATTGAGTATTTATAATAATCGATACCAATTTTGTACCAATAATCGTTTCCAACAATATTGATAACTGCCAGTTGTGCCTAAATGATTTGTTTTTAACATAGCTAGGTGTACAATATATTTATAGATAAGAGTTATGTGATAAATTGGCAACTGCTGGAAATCATCCGAAAAATCATTATTATGTATTTGGCCAGTAAAAATTGATCACGAAAAAGGTTATTGGAAATAATTTGTTATGTTTTATCGATGGACAAACAACCAAAAAACAAAATGATTTTCTAAGTAATTGAAAAACCACATTTTCCCGTAATTATTAAATGTTGCTAAACCGTTTTGAATGAATTCTCACCTCAATATTTAACCAAATGAAAATCATGTGTTTAGAAAAAAATCCAAGATACAAAATCCTGTATTCGTCCCTGGGTTATTATTATCTTGACAAGTATGAAGCCTTATTAATATTTTGATTTTTGTACAAATTACAAATATAAAAAATCATGTTCATTTTTTTTTTAAATACGAGTTTGCCATCGAATATATTTCCAGTAATATACAAAACTATTATACTCTATAAACAGCATTTAAAAAAAAATGTAATTTACTCATTTTTATGTATATAATATTGTACATATAAAAAATGTATTATTTTTATAGAACTTTATGTAGTATTAAATAAATGCCTTCCTAAATGAGAAAAAGTATAAATAGACAACTTTTTATATCTTCTGTTTATAAATGTATACTATAAATCTGTCGTTTAATTAAATATTTTTATTATAATTTATGTTATACATATCTGAAGTTTACTAAATTCGAAGTACATTATCATTTAAAAGTTAGTGCCGCAGGCACAAAATATAATTAAGAAATCATTATGCTTTTTGATTAATTTATATATAATATTCTCTATATTTTTTTTATTGTTAATAAAAAATACCTGATTATTATAATTTACTAATTAATACACCTATATATGAATTTATATACGGTTTGGTTCCTTTTAATATTTATAGTTTATTGTGAGACCTCCCAAGATTTTTGTTTTTCCGTGGTTTATTTGTGTACTGTCGCCATTTTTCACGCAATGATGGAAGAAAATTCATTTCCTAAGATTGTCTAGTGTAGCTGTTTGAAAGCAATGTTTACATACATTCTATATAGATAATTTAAGTACTAACAGTAATAGCGTAACAAGACAATCTGGAACCCTATGATAAGTCAATCATCGGGGGCCCATCTTCCCATAACTTTGTAAAGAGAGATGAAAATGCAAAAAAAAAATATTTCATCTCAAGTAGAAAATACTTTTTGTCTACTCATATACAGGGTGTTTTTTTCGATGTTTAGTGTAGGGATCTGGCAAAGTAGCAGAGATACAAAAAATCTTAAATGAGGAAAGATGTGCCGTTTTATGATCCTTATTAAATGTTACTTTTATTTTTTGATATTACGTCATGGCTGAGTAGATATTTGGAAAAATCTTAATTAGGCCAATTCCTTCAGATGTGTGTAGCTCCGTTCCTATTTATTTTACAAAAAAAAATTAAATTGCAAAGTTTCAGGTTTTTGCAGTGTTAATAAGATAGTGTGATCAAATTATTGTCTTTCTTATGCTTTCCAATGATATATTTGGCATTGTTATTTTGAAAAATCTGAGAACTGCACCCATTTTTAACTATTCAATTGCTCAGTGACGTAGATGGCTGTGACAAGAATCGTAATGTTTACTGACAACGCTTTTAGTTACTGCAGCATTATTTGACAGTTACGTTTCTTTCTTAAATGTTGTTTAAATTGGCAGAGACAATAAACTTTTCAAATCGGGAAAAGCGTGATATTGAGTGTTATATTCGTTCAGGAAGCTTTTGACAATATTGATACGCGCTCTGTGAGAGAAGCCTCAAATTCTGTTTCAAAAAGATGTATCTTGTAAATTAATAACAACGGTGGGCTTTTTGAACAATCTCGTTAATATCTTTAAATTAAATAATGGTTTGTTCGTAAAATTCTGATATTTTTTATATCTTTGTTATTTCATTTACTTACCTCAAATGCTACTTTCCCATATCCCTACACTAAACATCGAAAAAAACCTGTATGTGAAAGTAAGGATTTTTTCATGGCTTAACCAATATGAATATATTTTTATACAGGGTATTTCGCATAAGAACCAACACAAAGCAAAGCATGTGAAACACTCTGTATATTATTAATATATCATTTAATATATTTACTCCTCACTATAATCATGACTTGTTCAGGAGTCGTGCAGGAAAGGGGGCAGCATATTATTCAGTAGGTCACATTTGCATATAATAAATTATATTATTAATTTTTCATATACATAATTTAATCATATAAAAACATACTAACCACTTTATTAGTGAATTTAATTACAAATGGAATATTTTTGTATATACTTAAAAATATGCAATAATTAAAAAACTACGATGAAGATAGTATTTTTTGAAATGAATGATTTGCGATTCACTGGTTTTGAACGAAAAAAACCACTGAAGAATAATTTCTTGTGTAACAGCTTATTTTGGATTGAACATACTTGGAATGAGATATTTTTATCTACTTTTCAATGTCACCATCATTCTCTTGGGAATTACCTCTAATATGCATTACCTGGGAAGCAAAATAAGTTCCTGGAAATGTGGGCACAAAATATGTTTTTCTGGATACTTCAAGTATGATTATTTTGGCTTTGCCTATCGCTATTTTCTCCTGTGAATACCTAGAAATTTAGACGTTTCTAGGAGCTTGTGTAAGTCTCGTGTGAGTACTTTTCAATTTAGAAGTTTTTAGGAGCTTGTATCCCATACGATCTCCACCGCAGGATTGGATATTGCCTGGACGGAAATGTACGAATACGAACAATGCAAATTTTAAATTTGTTGCAAAAAATTTGCACTTGCAAATGCAAAAACTGATATTCTCATCTTTTATTGTAAAATGTAGTATTTTCTACACACAAGATGTTTTGGGAATGATTGGAAACGCTAAAAATTGAGTTCAGGTATTTAAAATAAGAAAAAAAATGTTACGAAAATATGCTTTTTTTTGAAATTGTGAAAGTAACTCCTAAGCGGACTACCATTTACCAATTACAATCAGCAGTCGAGGTCTGTATGCAATTCGAACCTGGATCGGCAGTCTCCAGTTGGAAAAGTTTTCACCTCGAGTATTTCCAATATCTACTAGATTTTTAAACTGAAATAAAAACAATAAACTTGACAGATTTTATATAAAAAAATCTCTAAAGTGATTTTCTGATTTTTTTTTTTAATATACACTGATAATATAATGTCTACAATCTTTATTTTTTCTTTTTATCTATGTTATGAGCATTAATGCATGGTAGTTACACCACCGACTGATACAGTGAAGTTATAATTGTGCAGGAAAATAAATACCATAATTTGAGTTATGTTCGTGCTGTATTGCGCATTGATTTTACAATACAAAAAACTGACCTTTTTAACTAGTTTTGAAAATAAGTCATATAATTATAGAGTAGTTGGACGTCCAATAAGAAAATTAATGGATGTCTAGCAAAATTATTTCTGCATCTTAGAACGGTTCTGATACCAATTACTCGAAATTATGCTACCATAAAATTCTGTAAAAGAATAAGAAATGAAGTAGGTACATGCTACACGCTAAGATCAAAATAGTATCCTTTTGGACTTAAAAAATGGAGGAACAGTATGCTGAAGATTTTTTTGTTGCAAATCGATGGATACTGCAATGTGCAGGTCTTTGGTCACCCGATGGTCAACACAAAGTTCTACGAATGTTATATAAATTGTACAGCATTGGGATATTTTTATTCGTCAATATATTTTTTACTGCTACAGAATTTATAAGCTTATATTATACGTATGGGAATGAATATGACTTAATAAAAAATATAAGCTTCGCTTTAACACATTTAATGGGGGCCATAAAAGTAGTATTTTTTTACTTTCAAAAACACAAACTTCTGGCAATTATGGATACTTTGGAAAACAAAGAATTTCGTTATGACAGCTGCACTGAAAAATCTTTTTTTCCTGGTTTAATATCGAGGAGATATAAAAACATTGGAGTAAAGTATACTATTCTGTTTTTCATATTAGCTCATGCCACTTTATTTTCTTCATACTTGCCACCAACTATATCCACACTAATGAATAGCAGCCGTCGAGGTGCTGAAGGGCAGGGTTTATATGTATTACCATATTACAGTTGGATGCCCTTCAAATATAACACTGACGATTCCTTTCTTTTGGCCTTGGGTTATCAAGCCATTCCTATGTTTTCTTACGCTTACAGGTGAATCTTTTATTCTATGTATTATACGACTTGATAAATGTCCCGATATTTACAGTATTGTAGGTATGGATACGTTATTTATGAATATTTTGAATTCGATTGGTTTTAACTTAGAGATGATTCAAGGAGCATTTCTAACAATAAGAAACAGGATTATTAAACAGACCGGAAAATCAATATATAAATCTAGTATATTATTAGATTCTGAGGAATTAAAATTAAAACTTTGCAATGAAATGAAGAAGATATGTCATCATCTACAAATCATTTACAAGTATGAAAGCGTTACTTCCATACAAACAATTTCCAAATAACAATTTCTATAAATCCATTCCTTTTAGGGTTTGCGAAGATTTGGAGAATGTCCATAAATATCTGACGCTGGCTCAAATGACAGCGACTCTGTTTATATTATGTTCATGTTTATATTTAGTCTCTTCGGTAAAAAAATAAATATAAATTTTTTAATTTTAATGTAAGTACATCAAATAATTTTTTTCAGACGCCAATTGCTAGTAAACAGTTTTATGCAGAAATTGTTTATATGGTGGCCATGGGTTTTCAACTCACACTGTATTGTTGGTTTGGAAATGAAGTGACGTTAAAGGTGAAAAAGTATAATTGTACATTTCATAAAAGCTTGCAATCCTGATGATTAAAATTTCAGGCGGCTGAATTGCCTCTGTACATATGGCAATGTGATTGGCTTACAGCCGATAACAATTTTAAGGCGAGTATGATCTTAACTATGGCGCGGGCTAGGAAACCACTGTATTTAACTGCTGGAAATTTTGCTCCATTGACGTTATCAACTTTTGTATCAGTTAGTATGAAAAACGGAAAAATATACACCTACCTAACCACATTATAAACATTTTTTAGATTATCAAAGGATCCTACTCATTTTTCACCGTTCTAAAGAGTACCAATGAATAAGTATAGACACGTGCATATAGGAAAAAACACCATTGAGCTAATTAGGATGTCATAGTGAATCAGACATAGCTTATAATGATTTTTTTATACACCACTTATGTCTACTTTTTATTATTGACTAAGGCAAAGTTTAACAAAATACATTATCATAGAGCAAAATAATCTTTTTTCTATAAAAAATTCCCTTCAGACATTTTCAACAGCGGCAGCTGGTGAAATTTGAAGTCGTAAGTGGTCATATTTTAATAAACAAGAATGTGACCTCTACTATTTCTTAGATAATTCTAGGTTCATTTTGATTTTTCTTACAGTTACAGCATAACAAATTTTGAAGAGATAGGATGTTAGTATAAAATTTAAATTTAAATAAAGGTTTGTTTAAAGAATTTAGATAAAAAAAAACACCTTAGTTGTATCCATCTGTTGATTATTGAAATAGTTATTTTTGTATCTAGAACGCGAAATGGTACTTTTGGGTTCAAGAATGGAGGAGGTAAAATATCGATTTGAAAACGAAAAAGCATTTCGCGTTCGAGATGCAAACAATATTTTTTTGAAGACTGCAATAAAATAAAACAATTGTGTTATATACAACAATTTAATTTATATTTGATATAGTTTAGGCACGGTGACTACTGACTATCATATTCATATAATTCAAAATGACCTCGGAAAGTACGAACATTTACCAGGAGAAGTATATGAAACGGCACAAAGTGCTGTTTCCCAATTAATCCCCAAAAAAATCGTCGAGACAGTACGAGATTGTCTACAACGAATTCAAAAGAATGGTGTAATTTGAAGAAAATTGAAAAAGTGTATGAAGTGGTATTACTTGTTTTATGTTCTAGAATGAAAAAGACTTTGGCATTCTAGAACATAAAGTATTTTGCAACTAGGTGACAAAAAAGACTTACTTTGGCAATTTAAAATTTAACGAAAATGTCGAGTGTTTGACAAAAATTATTTTGCACATACAGGGTGTGCCATTTAACACTCCCGCTGCTAATATTTCCGAAATGAAGAAATTTATTTTAGTTTTGGAAATGGGGGTTGTTAGGTCTCTCGAATAGCTTTAAGTTCTAGTTACAATTGTTACTTCAAATCTTTCTGTACAGATGGCGTGGCATTACTAAAACATTTTTTGTTCCCTGGAACGTGGAAATACAGTCCATCTGAAAGATCGTTAAATTTTGAAAAATTTTTGTAATATAAAGTTTTTCCCTATATTTACTTGTTTTCGAGACATGTCGACTTCAGTATGCAATGTATGATATACTAGGAAAATCTATTATTTTATTTAAATCACACTGAGACAAAATATTCTTTTAAAATATTGTTATAAGAGCTTTATTCACATCACATAAACTAACAAACAATAAGTTATAAAAAAAACGAATGATCAACTTCAGAAAAAAAAAGTATAATGGTAAATAAAATAAATAGTTATTGGTGACTCATGTCATTTGTTTAAAATAAAACAATGCCAGATGACACATATTAGTTTTCCAATAATTACAGGTTTATCAGTTTCCGACTTTCAATTTAACTATACTAGTTATACAATTTACCATTGTATAATCTTTTTCCTGTTGTTGATCATTTGTTTTTTTTATAATTTATTGTTTGTTGGTTAGTATTTGGTGTGAATAAAGTCATTAGAACAGTATTTTAAAAGAATATTTTGTCTTGGTGTGATTTAGATAAAATAATAGATTTTCCTGTTAAGTATACAGGGTGTAACGTAAAGGTTGGGAATAAATTAAACGGTGGATTCTTTAGTTTAAAAAATAAATTTTTGTCATATGAAGTTATGCTGTACGGGTTTTCTTTTTCAAGCTACAGGGCGCTAAAAAATTTCAAAAAATTTAGTTTTTCTCCAATAACTTTCGAACATTAGAAGATTATGGAATGAAATTTTATCCATAGCTTAATTTGACAATCCCCTAGTAACAGGAAAAAGATTGGCTTTGTAAGTTACTCAGTGGCGTGCGTACATCTTATACCGTAAGGTTTTTCGAAGAAAATTGTGGTACGCCACTGGTAAAAACATTTTTTTAATATCTTTTTATGATGCACATTTTATTTTAAACAAAATTACCCTCTTGCGTTTTATTCCTAGCTCTTGTCATTTTTCCGCAAATAAAACTTTTGTAAATACCATTTTTCCCCGCTGCTAACATAG